TGTTGTGTAGAAATCGATGGGGCTGAACTGTGCGTAATAGGAATTATTATTGCTATTCTTCTAATATTCTCCCAGGTCTCCTTGCTGTTTTGAAAGTCTTCCTTATTTGCCTTCTTTTTTAGCTACTTGCTAATATATTTATTTATTTATTTATTTACTTACTTATTTATTTAAAAGACTTGTGTAACAAAACCTATATGCCGCTCGAGAGTAATAAAACTTCTAAACTGTTTGCAATAAAATATCCAAGCGTCCTTAGATCATCATTGGCTACTTTGTAAACCCCAGGTTTGCTGATCGAGATTCTCATTGAACGGGGAGGATTTTCATTTTTAAAGGGCAGCTCTTGTTCAAAAGGTGATTTTCTCCCCCTCTCGCTTCTCAAACAGGGGGGTTGTTTTTTTTGGGGGGGGGGGGGGACGGCGGCAATAAGAAACATTTTTCAAAAAAATAAGTGTGCGGTTTCAAATGCAGAGCTATTACTTCTTTCTTCCTCACTAAGGCACTGCTCTGTAAAAAAAAAAAAATAGTTAATTATTATTTCCTAAACAGGCTCTGTCTTTTTGTGATCGCTTTTTAAAAGCAGGGAGCAACAAATATCTGATTTTAAGCGCGGAAGTTAAAAACCCCTTTTGAGGGCGGGACGGAGCCACTCAGAGGATCTGATTCAGTATTCTTATTTTTACTATGATTTCCGCGTAAAAAGAGGGTTCCGTTCTGAGTAAATCGCTCTTGCAGAATTTCCAAGTAAAGCAGGGGGGCCAAGTGAGTGAATAAACCTCCGCTTATTCCCCACGTTAAAATCTCCTTCGTAAAATGTAATAATAAAAACATTCCGTTCTTAAAAGAGGGAGATGGAAACGATGGGGAGGAAAAACCCCTGTAAGGATAGATTTTAAAAAACCAAACCATTCTAAATATTTCTAGTATGTTTATCTTATTTGGATTCTTTCCCCCCCATACGTACACCTTTAAATTTTGCAAAGTTTTCAACATAACTCACTTTTTCTTCTGCCAGCTATTTGCATCTACATATAAAGTGGGGGTTTCTTTATTTACATCTGGGTTGGAGTTAATTGAATTTCAGAATTGCAAAAGCACCTTTTTTAAACCCCGCTGGGAGAAATGTAGTGGGACACGCATTCGTTTGCTAGGAAGTTTTAAGTCGACCTCCTGCTTTCAGTTTTGAAGTGTTCAAAGTTGGCTGGAGCGTGTCCGTGTTTCCTGCTCGTCATGCTATTTTGTGTGATCATAACTGTACGCTTCTCAAGGCTGCAATGCAACGCTGAAGATTATTCCTTAAACCGCATTATTTTGTGCGTAAATTGCACGATCGCCGTCCACAGATTTTTATATTTGTGCACGTTGCAATTTAGATTTGCTCCTGCGTCGTCAGAAAATATTCATTATTTTGAAGAGTTTAGTTCTACAAACATTTTCTGGAGGAGATTGCTAAAATATATTAGATCAATCCGATTCACGAGTGAATCAATGTAAGGATATTATTTATTTTATTAAAGGAAAAATTGTGGGGTTTTGTGTGTTTTTTTAAAAAAGGAACGCTGGCAGGCGATTTCTAATTATCTGCTTGATAAATCTGGAACAGAAACGGCTAAAACTTTGAACAAATGCTGCGGGCGCTTCGTACAGACAGACTTGTGTTAATTTCAAGTTACTTTTTAAAAAGGGGGGGAAAGATTTCCCCACTTAAGTTTATTTCTGCAGTTATTGAGCAGCAGGGGATAACTGGGGAAGAATCTTCGCGACGCTTGAATTCGGTTTCACCTACGGGGAATGAGGAGTGGGAAGGGGGGTGTTAATTCGTATTAACCTGGAAAATCTGGGGAAAGAGGGTTTGTTCGCTTCACCATGGCGCAAAAACAGCGGGCATGCTGGGAACATTTTTTTGGGGGGGAGCTGAGACGCGTATGATCCGATTTAAAAGAGAAGCCACCCTTATCCATAAAAATAAAAAATCCCCTAAACTCCGTTTACGTTTCATTTCCTTTGGAGCCGATTGGCACGAGAGAGAGAGTGGGGAGGGCGGCGAAGGAACCGGTCTCTAAATTCAAATCGAATTCAGTGTATTTTTGAGAAGAGCTCGATTTTAGACATGAACGCTGGCCTCTCTCTTTGGGAAAGAGGCTTTTCAGAGAGGTTTCAGGGACTGGGTCTTGCAGTCCTTGGGAGTCAGGGCTATCAAAGTCCACGTGTTTAGATGGTGGGGGCGGGGAGCAGGAGAGCCAGGCAGTGACTGTTCAGCAATCAGGGGACGACACTTTGCACATGCCCAAAGGTTGCCGGCCCATCGCCTTGCGCAAGAGTCAGCCCTAGTGGAAAGCAGATTGTGTTTGTGTTCGAAGTAGGTTGCTAGTTCCTGTGTCTCCTAATGGGTTGTCCATGCAATCCTTTTCAGTGACCCCATCAGTCTCTGCCCTTTAGAAGATTCTAATACTCTCTGTTTCAGGCATTATGTGTTGAGGAGACCATTTGAGAAGGGAGTAGAGGTGGCCTCGCTCCCTTGGTAAAGGTAAAGGGACCCCTGACCATTAGGTCCAGTCGTGGCCGACTCTGGGGTTGCGGTGCTCATCTCGCTTTATTGGCGAAGAGAGCCGGCGTACAGCTTCCGGGTCATGTGGCCAGCATGACTAAGCATCTTCTGGTGAACCAGAGCAGCGCACGGAAACGCCGTTTACCTTCCCGCCGGAGCGGTACTTATCTACTTGCACTTGATGTGCTTTCGAACTGCTAGGTGGGCAGGAGCAGCTGCTAGGTGGGCAGGAGCAGGGACCGAGCAACGGGAGCTCACCCCATCGCAGAGATTCGAACCGCGGGAGCTCACCCCATTGCAGAGATTCGAACCGCCGACCTTCTGATCGGCAAGCCCTAGGCTCTGTGGTTTAACCCACAGCGCCACCCGCGTCCCTCGCTCCCTTGGTGCCTGCGTGCAAAATGCAAGACTGCTGAAGGGGACTGATTTTTTGTGTTGCGGGGCAGGCTTCCAAAGGCCCTGGAGAGACATTGTGGCACAGTGGTAAGAGTTGTGATTACACTTAGGCTGGGGAGACTCTGGGTTCAAATCCCCCACAGCCACGAAGCTCACTGGGTGACGATTGCACCCTCTCCGTTTAATCCACCTCTCAGGGTTGTGGTGAGGATGAAATGCAGGAGGCTTGGAGAAATAGTAGGACATGAAGGTTATGAACAACAGGAAAACAAGACCTTCATATTCTCCTGCGTCAACAGAAGGACGAGCAATTCATGTTAGTTAGCCTGTCCTGCATTTCCTGCTGCTGTTTTGAACATGTAGATGTACATGCATTGTAGATGGGGGTCACACATGTGTTCCATGCATGTGTTGCATTGCTCTTGCGCACAATTATACCCCTCCTTGTAGTATGCACATCCCACATGGGTCCTACTGCTTGCATCTCTAAGTGTGGTTGGGCAGAACTGGCAGATCTTAACTGCACAGGAGGAAATCATGACTCATTACAGTTGCCTTTTGATGTGTGGACAAATGTGCATTTCGACAAGCGGGGAGGGGGGTGTTGTTCAAGGCTGCAAGGAATAGCTCTGTAATGAACATTCCTCGCCCTCTGAGCACACACAGAAGTCATGAACCTGGGAGGAATTGTGGCCTGTGGCATTTTCATCCCTGAGCATGCGCACAGTTTCCAGACGTCCCATTTCTGTGTTGACGTGAGCCTCAGATGGAGCTCTGGTTCACAGAGCGGCGATTCCTCCCTCGAAGGGTTGGACGGGTTGGACTAGAAGACCCTCGGGGTACCCTCTCAACTCTACAATTTTATCCTTCCAGGAAAAGTATACACCTATGTCACAGCACACCGGGACCTATCTGACTCCCATCTTTCTGTGTGCAAACCGTCTTATACTTTTGCTCACCCGCTTTCCGCTGCCTGCCTCCCCCCAAAAGAAACTTTTTCCATTTTCTTGCTGCCCCACCAAAGACAAAGGTTGGATTCCACAACCTTATTCTTATTCTGGAGGACCTCAAGCCATTTCTAACCACCTAACTCTAGGCTCCAGTTTCAATCCTTCATTATTTTCACTCCCTTTCCCAAAAGGACAGCCTGCTGCTGTGATGTGATTTCAGATCAAACAGCCAGACTTGGTCCCATTAGCAGCATCTATAGCCCCAGGGACAAAGGTTTGGCTGTGCTGGTGCTGCCCTCTGGCCGTCTCTCACCTTCCCTAAGTTTATTATACCTGCCTTAAGTGGGACGGGGTGGCACTGTGGGTTAAACCACAGAACCTAGGACTTGCAGATCAGAAGGTTGGCTGTTCGAATCCCCGCGATGGGGTGAGCTCCCATTGGTCGGTCCCTGCTCCTGCCAACCTAGCAGTTCGAAAGCACGTCAAAGTGCAAGTAGATAAATAGGTACTGCTCCGGCAGGAAGGTAAACGGCATTTCCGTGCGCTGCTCTGGTTCTCCAGAAGCAGCTTAGTCATGCTGGCCACATGACCCGGAAACTGTACGCCGGCTCCCTCGGCCAATAAAGCGAGATGAGCGCCGCAACCCCAGAGTCGGTCACGACTGGACCTAATGGTCAGGGGTCCCTTTACCTTTATACCCCCAGGGACAAAGGTTTGGCTGTGCTGATGGTGCCCTCTAACTGTCTCTCCCCTAAGTTTATTATACCTGCCTTAAGTGGGGAGGGGAGCCTTTTTGAACCACCTTTTCTCTCCCTCTTTCTCTCCCCCCCTGCCCACACTTTACCTGCATGTCTCATTCTGTTTCCCCTTCCTTTATAGGTGTGAACCAGGCCCAGTAGGAAGAGAAGGATGCCAGACCACGGAAGCCACTGCTGGCCCTGATGCCTGGAACCACCTTGAAGGTTAGGACCTGTTAGGACCCGGAAAACTGCTTCCCCACCCTATCCTCTCATCCTGGACCTGATTGGGAACGCCTCCTGTCTTGATTTTGGAGGTAGACTCTCTCCCTCTAACCCACTTGGATCTCGCCTGCTCCTCCAGAGATGTACCAGAGCTTAGCTATGGCTGCCAACCATTGCCCTCAGGCCTACGAAGGGGCGAGTGGCTTCATGCACGGCGCGGCTGCCACTTCTCCTGTCTACATCCCGACCACGAGAGTCGGCACCATGATTCCCAGCCTTCCTTATCTCCAGGGGTCTGCCTCATCGCAACAAGGCAGCCCCTCTGGCCACTCCATCTGGACTCAGCCCGGAGCCGAGAGCGCCTCGTATAACCCCGGCTCGACGCACCCGTCCGTCTCGCCCAGGTTCTCCTTCGCCGCCGGCTCCCCCATCCCGACCACCACCTCCAGAGAGGGAGCCACGTACAGCAACCCCCTCAGCATCACGGCCAACAGCAGGGAACAATACGCCCGCAGTTTCAGTGGATCTTACTCCAGCCCCTACCCAGCCAGCTACATGACCCCGGAGCTGGGGGCCACTTGGACTTCCTCGCCCTTCGACAACCCCATGCTCCATAACCTCCAGAACCGGGGGACCCCAGGAGGGACTAGACACCCCAACCTAGGTAAGATCCGCTCTCTCTGTTACCTTTACAATACAATGCAATAATCTTTATTGTCATTGTCCCATAGAGAAGAACAAAATTGAAAAAATCTACAGCAGATATTCAGAAACCCACAAGCCTGCTATCCCAGCTATCCCAGCCTGTTTAGCCCCTAAAAACTCTGATACCCCATAATTGAATACAATATACCCACATAAAGACTACCTTACACTGCATTTAAAACCAAAATCGCATTTGGGTAGAAACTCTTTCTCAGGTGGCTAGTCCTAGTCTTTATAACCCTGTACCTTCTTCCAGAAGGCAGAAGCTGAAAGAGATCATTTCCGGGGTGCGCACTATCCTGCGCTATGTCTTATGGCACCTGGAAGCATAGATTTGATCCAAGGTGGGAAGAGTGCACCCAATTATTCTCTCCGCAGTCTTTACAACCCTGGACAGCATTGTTTTCCCCCTGACCATGCAACTCCCAAACCACACACACAGACCATAAGTTAATACACTCTCAAGAGTACAATGGTAAAATGCCATCAACAGGTCCTTTGAGAGATTGTCTTTCCGAAGGATTCTCAGATTCTTTAGTTAGGGTCTTTCTGGAAGGAAAGAAAAAAGCGACATTGCTAAGCAGGTTCTGGGGATGCTGATTTTGAACTGACCGGCATCTAACCAATTAACGAACTGAAAAATTTATCTGGAGAAGAGGGCGTTTTGAAATAATATTTTTATGCTTAACTGCAAAATCGTAGATGCGAACAAATAAGGTGCAAGGAAGCAAATGAAAGCATCTGTTCACAAACGATAACAGAGTTTGTGTTGGTTAGAGTGTGGTGCTGATAACACCAAGGTTGCAGGCTTGATCCGCATAAGGGACAACTTCTTATTCCTGCATTGCTGGGGTTGGACTAGATGACCCTCATGGATCCCTCCCAACTCTGAGATTCTTTGATTCTTTGAAATGGAAGGCTGCATAAAGTTGTGCTTTGCTGCTAAACTTGTTCCAAAGCGTTACAATGAATGCCCATCTTTCTATGAACTTGTTGGGTTGATTTATGTGTGTACTTTTATGATAAGTTAGTCATTTTTACTATAGACCAAACTTTTATCAAAGCATTCAATGTACTCTCCATTCCGTTCCTCAGTTCTTAGCTATTGTGATCCTTACTGCTGACTGCTGTTTCCTGCTCATACATTTAGGTGAACTCTGAATATTCTACTACTTGGTTATTTGAAGGATGTTATCTCTGAAAATGAGGACATTAAAAAAATATCTTTCTTTTCCATGAGTGTCAGTTAACTTAACCATGAATAGTAATTAAAAGGCTACTCTAGGAAAAGAATTGGGAACATCGTACATTCCACTTTAGGAAAATATAAACAGAGCTAATTCTTTCTTTTTTAAAGTTCTGGATCCATCTGTATTGCTAAGTAAAAACAAAAATCCGAATGATGCTGATTTCAGAGAGAATGCCTTTCCTCCATTGTTGGTTTTGTTTTGGTTTTTTTCAAAATTATTATTCATTTTATAACACAAATAGACAACACAAACGGAAAAACAAACAATACAAACAAATTCTTGTCTTATCCTTATTTTTTCTAAACATTGTTAGGTGGGCTTCCCCAAGTCTCCTCTATCTGATTTTCATTTTACCTCATCTTTAGCACTTTACATATATCATAATTTCTAACTATTTTCTTTTTTTAAATCACGCTTACTTTAACCATAAAAATCTTCACATTTTACCACTTACAAATAATACTATTCAGTTGTTGGTTTTGGGGGAAATCTGATTGAGTGCTATGAGGTTTCAAAGGTATTTTTATATGCATATGTTAGTTCTTTTAAATGCAGAGGGACTGAACTTGAACATGCCTTGCCTTAAGGCTGCTAAAGACCCAGCAGTCTGTGCGTGGGGCCCTGATCCGGTAGCTCCAGGCTGGGGAAAAAGCAAGCTTCCTGCTTGATTTAGGACACAAAGGGAAAGTGATGAGTTTCTTTCCCTGTAAGGATGGAAGCAACTAAACACTTCATTGAGGCCATAGGGTGATGTTTAATCTGCTGCTAAAGATGCCATATTTTTTCCTCTCTCCTTTGACTTTAGAGCTTTTGTTGAAATGAATTAAAACTATTTGACAGGTAGGGTTCTAATCCCAGGAGACTTTGTTAGCAATAAGAAGGTTACCAGATTGCTCAAGAAATCCAGCCCGTACACAAACACACCACAACATCCAGTTGCAAAGGAAGAAATTGGGAGTGAAATCAACTAGGGAGACTAAGCATTTTGATGTGGTTCTGACGTGTCTGAAACTGGGAGAGAAAGGTTGGATTCCACAATCGCTATTCTGGAGGACCTCAAGCCAGTCCTAACCTACGTATCAGGGTTGTTGTGAAGGTAAAATGGGGAGCGGGAGACCTTGAGCAGCTTGGAGAAAATGTGAGAGGTACATGTAACGAAATTAAAACGTGAATAGGAAATCATGTTTTCAAACAGGCAGAAGCAACAAACTTGCAGCACCTTAAGACTTGGCATGTTGCAAATATATCTCTTTCCTGTATGGTAGGACAACATTGTAGTTGGTGCTAGTCAAATCTCCTGGGTGAGGGGTAGGGAGGTGACATTGAATTAGTGGGGTGCCATAATAATAATAATAATAATAATAATAATAATAATAATAATAAATTTTATTTATACCCTGCCCTCCCCAGCCAGAGCCGGGCTCAGGTCGGCTAACACCAATAAAATTTCAGTAAAAACATAATTGGGAGGGGGGGGGACACAATTTAAAATACAGGTTTAAATGCAATTTAAAATGCAGCCTCATTTTAAAAGTAGCCCATAGATCAAAACCATAAGGGGAGGGAAACATAAGGGTCACATTGAGTCCAAACCAAAGGCCAGGTGGAACAGCTCTGTCTTGCAGGCCCTGCGGAAAGATGTCAAGTCCCGCAGGGCCATAGTCTCTTGTGACAGAGCGTTCCACCAAGTCGGGGCCAGTACTGAAAAGGCCCTGGCCCTAGCTGAGACCAGTCTAACCACCTTGTGACTTGGGACCTCCAAAATGTTGTCATTTGTGGACCTTAAGGTCCTCTGTGGGACATACCGGGAGAGGCGGCCCCATAGGTACGAGGGTCCTAGGCCGCATAGGGCTTTAAAGGTCAAAACCAGCACCTTAAACCTGACCCTGTACTCCACTGGGAGCCCGTGTAGTTGGTAAAGCACTGGATGAATGTGATCCCGCGGTGAGGACCCCGTAAGGAGTCTCGCTGTGGCATTCTGCACCCGCTGGAGTTTCTGGGTCAGCTTCAAGGGCAGCCCCGCATAGAGCAAGTTACAATCAGTTCCCTTGATTGTGGAGGTGACCGTTGCATGGATCACTGTGGCCAGTGATCCATGAAGGAGGTCCTTCTCTCAGATGATATCATAGAACTGCAAAGTTGGAAGGGACCCCCTCTACAATGTAGGAATCTCAGCTAAAGCATCCATGACAGATGGCCATCCAACTTTTGCTTTAAAACATCCAAGGAACTAGGAGACATATCTCCAGATTTAAGATTTCCGAGAACGGAGGGGATCTGGTGGAGAGCCTTGATGCCAAATGGGACATTTGCGTTTGGAGAAAAGGCGATTCGGAAGTGGCACGATGATAGAAGTTTCTGAGTCATGCATGGCACGAAGGAAGGGGACAGAAGAAAGTATTTGTCCCTCTCTCATAACACTAGGACCAGAGGCCATACAATGAAGCTGGATAGGCAAAAGAAAGCACTTCTTAACAAAGGAGGAATGGTTAAGTAAACTTTGTGAGTACAGTGGTACCTCGGGTTAAGTACTTAATTCGTTCTGGAGGTCTGTTCTTAACCTGAAACTGTTCTTAACCTGATGCACCATTTTAGTTAATGGGGCCTCCTGCTGCTGCCACGCCGCCGGAGCATGATTTCCGTTCTCATCCTGAAGCAAAGTTCTTAACCTGAAGCACTATTTCTGGGTTAGCAGAATCTGTAACCTGAAGCGTATGTAACCTGAAGCGTCTGTAACCCGAGGTACCACTGTACCTGGAATTAGCAAAATTGAAGGATTTAATAAGGCATAAGTCAAAAATTTTAATTCAGGAACAATGGATTAACATGTTTAAATGATTAAGCAGAGCTCAAATACAAAAGTTTGGTTGTGTCTAGACTAACCTTGTGAAGAATGCAGAGAACATAAAGATTTGATTGATTATGAAAGAATCTAAGGAAGGGAAATGATTCAAGAACAGATGTAAATGCGAGTAAGACAACTAAGAGACGTGAGGTGAACGCAGTGGAAGTCATTTATAATATTTTAACTAAGATTTATATGTTGCAGTATTTGAAGCAAGAATTTGGTAATTTTCCAGGTTATGAAAAGTATTTTTCCTATTCTTTTGTCTTTTGTCTTTATATTTTTTTTATTTTTCCTTTCCTTTTCTTTTTATTAGTTTTCATTTTGGAAAGTGTTCTTATGGTGTTATGTATTGTTCTTTAATTTCTATTTTTTGAAAAAATAATAAAAAAAGAAAGCACTTCTTTGCACAGTGGTATCATTCAACTGTGGAACTCTCTCCCACTTGAGACAGGGATGGCCACCAATTTGGGAGCCTTTAAAAGAGGATTAGGCACATTCACGGAGGAGAGGTTTTAATGACTGCTCTGCTCTGCCTCGAAGAGATACTTCCAAATACTAGTTGCTGTAAACCCCAGGAGGAGAGAGGGCTCTTGTGTTCGAATCCAGAAGGCTCTTATTATGTTCCTAATCATTTATAGACAGGCTGGTGCAGTAGTTGAGTGTGGTCAGTCCTTTATCTTTGAGGATAAGGCTGTCCATGGATGCTGGCCACAATGGCTATGTTCCCAGTCCCATGTCGGAAGCACGATGACCCTGAGGCCATTTGATGGAAATCCCCAGTGGGGAAAACACTATTGCTTGTGGGATTCTGCAGGCATGTGGTTACCTACACAAGATGCTGGAGAATTTGAGCCTGTGGCATGATCTGATGGGGTTTTCTTTAGGTGCGTATGAAAACACTCGAGACTGCTTAGTGTCTGGGCCAACAGCTGTGTTTAGGGCAGTTGGGAGAGCATGAGACGTCAAGGTCGTGGGTTTGAACCCCACACTGGGCGAAAGATTCCTGCATTGCAGCGGGTTGGACTAGATGACCCTCACAGTCTCTTCCAACTCCACTACAATTCTATGATCCCACAGCAAATGCTCAGAAACATTTCAATAGGATTTAGGTTCTGTTCCAGTTCTGATGGGGTCAGGGCCAGATTTAGGTTTGATGAGGCCCTCAGCTACTGAAGGTAATCGGGCCCTTTATATGTCCAGCTGTCCTTTGTCAACAGCAAATTGTCGCTGTTTTTGGTGTTGAATATATGCTACATGGTAATTTATGGACCTGATAGGTATCTCAAGCCATTTGCACATGTTGCCGTGTGACCAGTCCATGCAGAATGTAGGCACCCTATATATAGAAAGGAGCAAAGCAGTGATATTTTAGGGAGCAGGCGAGCAGGAGGAGCCCATTACTTGCATCATAAGAGCCTACACAACACAAAACACTGTTGCTGTATGTAGGTTTTATTTTATTTGTTTTTTATCTTATATTTTGGAAATGTACATCCAGTTGTTTTTCCTTTAAATTTTTTGGGGGCCCCCAAGAGAGTGGGGCCCTAAGCTACCGCTTGTTTATAGCTTATATGTAAATCTGGCACTGAATGGGGTTTGTATTCAGAGTGGGTTGGACTTCCCAGGATACCCTCAGACATCTCTGCTGTTTAGAGTGTTGGAGTGAGACACAGAAAACCGAGGTTCAAATATCCACTTGGATATTTGGGGTGACCATGGACCTATCATGAACTTTCCGCCTAACTCACTTTTCTGGGTTGTTGTGAAAATAAAATGGGGAGGGGGAGCAACATGTACGTCCCATTGAGCTCCTAAGGGGAGAGGTGTGATATAAATGCAATTGATATAAGGAAGGGCCACGGTTTAGTGAATAAGCATCTGCTATGCATGCAGGTTCAATATTGCTGGCATCTCCAGGTAGAACTGGAATAGACGGCATTGCCTGAAATGCTTGAAGCTTGATGCCAATCAGTGTAGAAGAAGAAGAAGAAGAGTTTGGATTTGATATCCCGCCTTTCACTCCCTTTTAAGGAGTCTCAAAGCGGCTAACATTCTCCTTTCCCTTCCTCCCCCACAACAAACACTCTGTGAGGTGAGTGGGGCTGAGAGACTTCAGAGAAGTGTGACTAGCCCAAGGTCACCCAGCAGCTGCACGTGGAGGAGCGGAGACTCAAACCCGGTTCCCCAGATTACGAGACTACCGCTCTTAACCACTACACCACACTGGCTCTCAACGCTACTGGACTCGATGGACCAATGGACTGGCTTGCCATAAGATAGCTTCCTACGTGGTTGGCATCTGTCTGAGTGCAGGTGTGTGCCTTTGGGGGTGAAGTCAAACTAATAATAATAATAATAATAATAATAATAATTTTTATTTGTACCCCGCCCTTCCCAGCCAAGGTCGGGCTCAGGGCGGCTAACAAGCAATAATAAAAACAAGTTGAATGAATGCAACTTAAAAACAAAATTAAAATACAACATTAAAATATTGAAACATTAAAATATTAGAATGCCTCATCGCAGGAGAAGGAAAAGAAAAAAGAAAGAGGGGGAGGGAATCAAATTGGCTCCAAGCCAAAGGCCAGGCAGAACAACTCTGTCTTACAGGCCCTGTGGAAAGAAATCAGATCCTGCAGGGCCCTGGTCTCATGAGGCAGAGCGTTCCACCAGGCTGGGGCCAGTGTTGAAAAGGCCCTGGCTCTGGTTGAAGCCAATCTAACTTCCTTAGGGCCCGGGACCACTAGGGTGTTGCTATTTATGGACCTTGAGGTCCTCCGTGGGGCATACCGGGAGAGGCGGTCCCGTAGGTACGAGGGTCCTAGGTCGTGAAGGGCTTTAAAGGTCAAAACCAGTGCCTTAAATCTGACTCTGCACTCCTCCGGGAGCCAGTGCAGCTGGAAAAGCACTGGGTGAATATGCTCCCATGGCAGAGATCCCGTGAGGAGCCTCGCTGCAGCATTCTGCACCCGCTGGAATTTCTGGGACAGCTTCAAGGGCAGCCCCGCGTAGAGCGAATTACAGTAGTCAGTAACTGGAGAGTTACAGCACTTGCTGCGACTGTAGAGACTGATACGGGAGAGGCATGCTCATGTTGCACCTGGAGCAGACAAAGTCATCCAGTTTCGCTGTTACAGATGCACGTGTATACAGTGGTACCTTGGTTCTCAAACTTAATCCGTCCCGGAGGTCCGTTTGACTCCCGAAACGTTCTAAAACCAAGATGTGGCTTCCGATTGGCTGCAGGAGCTTCCTGCACTGAAAGGGAAGCAGCGTCGGATGTTCGGCTTCTGAAAAACGTTCGCAAACTGGAACACTTACTTATGGGTTTTTGGTGTCCGGAAGCTGATTAGTTCATCAACTAATCCGTTCGAGAACCAAGGTTCCACTGTATACATTCAACCTGCAACTTGCATGCATTTAACTTGTGTGCATTTAGCTTTACACGCTGGGCAAACTATAAAAATAAAAAGGAGCTGTTGTCTTGGGCGGAGGAAAGACTTTGGCAGTCCCACCCACCGTTGCACCCAATGTGTTTTGACTATATGAGATTTTGGCTTTAGGACATCACTGCCTCCTAATTTTCAGGCTCCCTGTCGATTTTCTGCTGGGATGCAGCTGTTTGTTCCTGGTTCTGGCCTTCAATGCGCAGGTAATGCCTGTGACTTTGTACTTTGCTGCAAGGCCTGATAGGTCAGCCCTTCCAAGCGCACCCAAATATGCAAGACAAACACACTGCGTTCAATCATGGCCTTTTGTTGATGTGACAAGGACAATTTATTGGCTTGTGTTGGAAAAAGAGCTGGCAGAGTTGTAAAAGGAACATGCAAATGTTTGCTTGGGCCGGCTGAGAAGGAGAATAGGACCCTTAGAAACCTGGCTCCCTTCCTTCTGTAATTATACATCATTCAAATAGCAACTCCAGGAACCTCTGACTGGTAGGCAGGAGGTGTTGCTTGCAATTGGATTTGGCTGCTCTCCTTAGTAGGGATTTAAGGAAGACAGGAGTTGGGTTTTTCTCCCTTTTTAAAAGGGAGGATCCAGAGATACTTAAGCTTTGAACTTAAAGAGTCTATAAGCCTGCAGTTGCTACCAATTTGCACTTCTTATAGGTTCTCACTTGTTGGGAGCTGTGGGCAAGGTAGCTTGGTGGTAGAGGGTTGCCAGAAGAGAATTTCAGGTTCCATCCCTGGGTGTCTCCAGGTAGAACGAGTGTCCGGCGTAGATGGGCCAATGGTAAAAACAGCTTCCTGTGTCAATCAGAATTTGAAAACCCATATTGGATGCACCTTGACCATTCTGCTCCCTCCCACTCTCTGAAGGCAGAATTGCACATCCAAGCCAACTGGAAAAGATCCTGTCTTTGCATCTCTGTGTTTGTCTGTCTAGCTGCTGCTTCTTCTTTGGCGATCCCTCGTAGCCAAGGAAGATTGTCTTCAATAAACACGGTTTTAAAAGTGAGTCTGTAAGTGACTGTGGAGGCCAATTCTGGATCCACACATCCTTCCACAGTGGGGACATTGGTTTCCGGATGGGAGTTGATCACAGTGTGGATTTGCCAAGTGTGCCTTCCTCCTAGCATGTTTCTCCCTTGTGTTCTGAGTTCGAGTGTCTTCAAAACCCATGACACCTTTGGTAGAGGCTGTTCTCCAACTGGAGCGCTCGCAGGCCAGTGTTTCCCAGTTGTCGGTGTTTATACTACATTGTTTTAGATTTGCCTTGAAACAGTTTTTAAACCTTTTTTGCTGACCACCAGCATTACGCTTTCCATTTTAAAGTTCGGAATAGAGTAGTTGCTTTGGAAGACGATCATCAGGCATCTGCACAACATGACCAGTCCAGTGAAGTTGATGTTGAAGAATCATTGCTTTGGCACTGGGGATCTTTGCTTCTTCCAATACACTGACATTAGTTCGCCTGTCTTCCCAAGTGATATGTAAATTTTTTTGGAGACACCTTTGATAGAATCTTTTAAGGAGTTGGAGATTAAATAACTAACCATTTGCTGCCATTTCAAAACACCCCATACAAGGCCATTTTGGTGAGGTGAGATGGCTGCCTGAATAGTAATAATAATTTATAATAATAATTTGTCTGACTTCTGAAATGTTTGAAAACCAACGTGCAGCTTCTGATTGGTGCTGGTGCCCCAGAAACAATAGCCGACAGCCACATCAGATGTTTGGCTTCCAAAAAATGTTTGAAAACCGGAACACTTACTTCCAGGTGTTTGGCGTTTAGGAACCAAGGCATTTGAGAAACAAGGTACCACTGTATGCATCCCCACTGAAGACCATTAGATCATCAGGCTGGCTCATGATTTAGGTGGTTTAGAAGTGGTCGTCCTAAATATCCACAGCATGCTAGTAGAGGGCTTTGCGATATACATAATTCTTAAAGGCAGATGAGTGTCACTTGTTTGGGATCTCCTCTTCTGTACTGCAGTAAGTCCAATGGAAGCCAGCAGTGCTAATTCAACTCAGCGTGTTGTTGTTGTTGTTTGCCTTGGCCCTGAACGTTTTTCAAATAACCAGCCTCTGGTTTCGGTTCCTATCGCCTTTCTCTACAAGCAGAATTCTAGGATTCGGTCGACAGTAGGCCATAAACTGAAAACAGTTCCCTTGATTGTGGCAGATTCAACCCACAACTTTTGCTACAGCTGCAGCTGCCTTCATGTCCAGCTTGGTTCATGTGAAAATAAGGAAGACCATGATGATTTATTATTATTTTTTTAAATGAAAGGTGCCAGGATTTGAAGTCAACACTCTTTGGCCAGAGAGCAAATTCCTAAATTCAAGAGGTGCACTGACAACATTATTGTTGCTTCCTCTGTTCCTGGTGTTCCAACACGGACCTCAAATTGAATCTAAGGCACTAGTCCTCAGTGTGGACCGGCTTCTGCATTACGGTGACCGGATCTCAAGTGAGCTGCAACAGTGACGCTACCATGTTGCAGATATATGATGAAAAATCGAGAAACGGGTCCCTAGATGCAGGTCTGTATCACAAAAGGTTGAAGATTGCTGTTCTAAGAGCAGATTTCAACTGAAAAGAGTCATTTTCAGATATGTGTTGGGAAGGTTTCTATGTGTGATGTTCAGTGATAATTAAATTGCTGCCGTTACGGTTAAAATAAAGACATAAATCATTTTTTAAATGTGGTTTGCTTAGGGGTAGTGTGCTTCCTGATACTTTCTTTTTTATATATACACACATTGTTATTAATTTTTTAACATATCCTTTCCAACAGTCATTTAACATACATTTTTATCTTATACAATTTTTTTAGACTTCCCTCAACTACCTCTGAAGATTTTCCATTCTTTATCACTTAATCTGCATTTCTTAATTTCTCTATTACTTATAATTATTACTTATAATTATTTTAATTATCCCTAACTAATATTCTCTTCTTAATATTCCTTGCAATATTTTGCATAATCCTCCTTACAAAACTTCTTGCAGTCCTACTAGCGTAATCTATTTATTACAATTGCTTTTCAGATAGTTCAAATATTTACTCCAGTCCTCTAAGAATCGTTGGTCCCGCAAGTTTCGAATCCTTCCTGTCAATTTGTCTAATTCTGCATAGTCCAATAATTTCATTTGCCATTCTTCTTTTGTCGGTAATTCGTGCTTCCTGATACTTTCAGCGTAAACTAGAATATTTTTTTTGTGTGTTTTTTTTTAAAAGCAGTGGTTTGTGTCTTTTTTGACTGGACCCCATTGGTAAAACTGGTTGTGGCTGATGGGAGTTGGAGTCCCACAACATCTGGGGGTGGGGTGAGGCATAGGCTCCCCTTCCCCATTTTACCGAAATAAGTGGGACATGCTCATCATGACTAATGGGGTAGAGGGAGAGCTAGTTCTTGCTTGCTTCTAGTTGTGTATCCCTCAAAATTCTGCAGCCGCCGCGATCAGCTCACCAGCCAATGTTTCATTTTTAAAAATGAGCCTTCTTAAAATATTGGGGGACTGGGGAGCAGAATAAGTCCAGATATTTCAAGTTAAGGCACCTGTGCACTGCTGTAAATACTATTTCATTCTTGTACCTCATACAAAAGGACCCGGGTGGCACTGTGGGAGTGGGACCCGGCTTGGCATGGGAGAGTGAAGAGCAGGTCCATGTCCAGACATGGCAGCAACTGAGAATGCCTGATTTTGGAGGGGCGTGGAGGTGGAATGGAGAAAGAGAGAGAAAAACAGATTATCAACGGAAGTGCAGGGGAAGGAAGTAATTAAGAGCAGCAACTCGCAATTATACACAATAATATGCTTAATAGAGATGAATTATACCCTAGTGCAAGGAACGTGGGTGGTGCTGTGGTCTAAACCACAGAGCCTAGGACTTGCTGATCAGAAGGGTTTTGGCAGTTCGAATCCCCACGATGGGATGAGCTCCTGTTGCTCGGTCCCTGCTCCTGCCAACATAGCAGTTCGAAAGCATGTCAAAGTAGATAAATAGGTACCGCTCTGGCGGGAAGGTAAACGGCGTTTCCGTGTGCTGCTCTGGTTCGCCAGAAGCGGCTTAGTCATGCTGGCCACACGACCCGGAAGCTGTACGCTGGCTCCCTCGGCCAATAAAGCGAGATGAGCGCCGCAACCCCAGAGTCGGCCACGACTGGACCTAATGGTCAGGGGTCCCTTTACCTTTACCTTTACCTCGTACACCTCCGTGGCTACCCAAAGTCCACTGAACTTCGGAGCTCACATGTGAATTATAAGCAACCACAGAGCAGTTTTATGAATATATGCCTCCACTTTTAATTGTGGGGAAGGGAAAGAGAGATGTACCCCAGTGAATTCTTGATAATCACATTTAGGGAGCTGTTTGGTTGTAAGTTGCTTTGAGTTAAAGGTAAAGCTACCAGCAAATTTTGCAAATGAATTAATAAACAAACAAGCAGGGAGCGTGACATTGTAGCTCTGAAAGAAATGTGAAACTCGCTGCAACACACGCAGTCCCACACTCATCCTTGACAAGCAGCTAGCCCTCATTGTTTTTTATACTTTACTTGTGCTCTCCATGTTTCTCTGTGCTTTGGGGGGGGGGGTCAGGGAGTCAGCCCGAGTGTTGTTTTCAATCGAGGAAACCTCTGAGCTTTCCTTGGCTGGAAACAGTTTATTCTAGGCGAGGGTTCAGCTCTGCAGATAACAACAATGAAGTCCTGTTCATGTTGCAATTGCCAGCACTTTTTAATATGCCGCTGCCAGAGATATGTTTGAAATACACAAGCCAAACGGGGTGAGAATGAAAGGAGACCACTCTTGGCAGATTGCAAAAAAATCTATAATGTTTTGGGCTTTTAAAGCTCCTAAGATGTGAGTCCATAAACCTTTTCAAGGTCTTATATTTTCAAGGACACTTGTGAATCTCCCTTTCAATCCAAATTTCTATGGTGGTCCGAGACGATCTCAAATAGCTTCTAATCCATTTCACTGCTCCTATTTTGTCCTGATTTTGCTTGGGGGGGGTCCCTTCTTAAAAGCGCATTATTACACACATCCATGCATTAGAACTGCTTTTTTTAAGCTGGTCCTTGTTGTCAATACAGCATCAGCATGTGTATCATTTTGCTGAGAATAGGAGGGAAGTCAGGTCTCTGCCCCAAGGAACCTACAATCCAAAATTGACAAAATGGAGATGACTGAGGAAGGGGAGGGAGGGATAAGCACAATGGAATTGCTCCAATTGTACATTCTTGAGCAGGGGCAACACGCTCTGCCCAACAGTGAAATTGGGCTTTCTTTCTTTCTTAATAATAATAATAATTAATAATAATACTTTATTATTTATAACCCACCCATCTGGCTGGGTTTACGCAGCCACTCTGGGCGGCTTCCAACAAAATATTTAAAATACAATAAAATATTTTATTTGGATTTGATGTTAATGTTTGAATCCTGCTTGAGCTCAAAGCAGCTCATGAAAATCACAGTAGCATTAAAAACAACAAATGTAGGAATCATGATAATATCAAATACAGTGGCACATAAATAAAGGAAACAGCAACAAAAAATAATCATCATCAAGGCATCCAATACAATTCAATAAAGTCATCATGCTTTCTTGTTGTTAACCACTGTACCATACTGCCCCCTGCAAGTGTTGGAGAATCTGTTCTTTTAAAAGAAGAAGAAGAGTTTGGATTTGATATCCCACTTTATCACTACCCTAAGGAGTCTCAAAGCAGCTAACATTCTCCTTTCCCTTCCTCCCCCACAACAAACACTCTGTGAAGTGAGTGAGGCTGAGAGACTTCAGAGAAGTGTGACCAACCGAAGGTCACCCAGCAGCTGCGAGTGGAGGAGCCGGGAATCAAACCCGGTTCACCAGATTATGAGTCCACTGCTCTTAACTACTACACCACACTGGCTCATCAGGACTTCCCTTCCAAATGAAGACTCAAAACTAATCTCCTAGACCCAGAAGGCTTCACTGAGTAATGTGTCACCAACTGGCACAAAGAGTGCTGTGCTGTTTTTATCATGTGTATTTTAATAGATTTTAAAAGTATTTTTAATTACTTGCGAACCAATTCTCTTTTATACGTTTTTAGCTTTCTGTATTTTATCTGTGTTGTAAGTTACTTTGAGTCTTGGTCTGGTGGAAATGTGTGATTATAAATTATCATCATCATCATCATTATTCAACCAGGATATTTCAGCTGCAAATGGGCATTGTATGTTCAGAGTGTACATATGTGTTCTGAGTGGCTCAGTCAGTAGAACGCAAGACTTTTAATCTCAAGAGTCAAGGGTTCGAATCCCACATTGAGCAAAAGATTCCTGCATTACCTGAGGTTGGACTAGATGACCCTCGCGACCCTTTGCAACTCTACAGTTCTGTGATTCTATGATTGCTACTCCAGGAGAACAACAAACCATGCCCTTGGAGGTGCTTACAAGCATCGCTGCAATTCTCAGCCCCAAGGCTGACTCTCAAGGTGTTGGAAGGCCAACAAGTTGGAAGGAACAGCTAACGGTGGTCATTAAGGGGGGGAAATTGAGCAGCTGTGGGGAAGGAAAGGTGCAAAAAGAACCCTGGAGTGATTTTAGGGAATCAAATGACAGCGAACATATGGAGAGAAACATTTTTTCCATTTACCCTGCTTGTGTGCTTTTTAAAAAATCCTCCTAAGGCAACTGAACAAGAGGAATGCCTTTTGCTGTGGCAATCTCTACAGCACCCCTGCCTAACTTCCGATTTAAAAAGTCAAATAACCGCAGCACAAGACATCTGCTTGAACACTGTGAGTCACAGGCCTTTGATCTGACCCTATATTCCTAAAATTTCTTGCATGCTAATAGGTGGAACCTCATAGCTGGATTTTCAATGCCTGACATAGGAGATATCATCTATCAAGGGGTCCATTCCAGCTCCACCAGGTGGGATGGACCTTTCTCGTCCCTAGCAGGTTTTTAATCCCAAGCCTGAATTAAGATTGCCGGAAGAAATATCAACAACCTCAGATATGCAGATGACACAACCTTGATGGCGGAAAGTGAGGAGGAATTAAAGAACCTTTTAATGAGGGTGAAAGAGGAGAGCGCAAAATATGGTCTGAAGCTCAACATCAAGAAAACGAAGATCATGGCCACTGGGCCCATCACCTCCTGGCAAACAGAAGGGGAAGAAATGGAGGCAGTGAGAGATTTTACTTTCTTGGGCTCCATGATCACTGCAGATGGCGACAGCAGTCACAAAATTAAAAGACGCCTGCTTCTTGGGAGAAAAGCAATGACAAACCTAGACATCATCTTAAAAAGCAGAGACATCACCTTGCCAACAAAGGTCTGTATAGTTAAAGCTATGGTTTTCCCAGTAGTGATGTATGGAAGTGAAAGCTGGACCATAAAGAAGGCTGGTCGCTGAAGAATTGATGCTTTTGAATTCTGGTGCTGGAGGAGACTCTTGAGAGTCCCATGGACTGCAAGAAGATCAAACCTCTCCATTCTGAAGGAAATCAGCCCTGAGTGTTCACTGAAAGGACAGATCCTGAAGCTGAGGCTCCAATACTTTGGCCACCTCATGAGAAGAGAAGACTCCCTGGAAAAGACTCTGATGCTGGGAAAGATGGAGGGCACAAGGAGAAGGGGATGACAGAGGACGAGATGGTGGGGCAGTGTTCTTGAAGTTACCAGCAAGAGTTTGACCAAACTGCAGGAGGCAGTGGAAAACAGGAGTGCCTGGCGTGCTCTGGTCCATGGGGTCACGAAGAGTTGGACACGACTAAACAACAACATGGGTGTTTTAGTTGAGATTCCTGCATCATAGGGGGTTGGACTAGATGACCCACAGGGTCCCTTCCAACTCTACGATTTTATGAATGAATGAACCTCTGCCCATGGAAGGAGGAGCATGCTCACAGAAGTCAGTAAACACTACGCTCCTCCCATGGATATGGCAGAAACGGAACTATAAAAATGGTTCGTTTTCTTCTTCCAAATCCCATCTCTCAGACTGTAAACCGAGAGACCCTATCTGGGTTTCTAAAGCAGCACCGCATCGCTTTAAACAGCCATGGCTTCCCTCAGAGGATCATGGGAAATGTAGTTTGTTAAGGGTGCCATGAGAGATCCACTGTTCCTATCAGAGAGCTACAATTCCTTTTTATTTATCTATTTTTAAAATCGTTTTTGAATTGAAAGTTTTTCACTTGGTATGCAATAACAGCCAAACTAATCTAAAAAAAGAAAAATAGGAAAGAAAGTGTAAAAGAGAAAAAGAAAGAGAAAAAGAAAAAGAAAAAAAAGGAAAGAAAGAAAGAAAGAGAAAAAGAGAGAGAGAGAAAAGAGTATAATAATATCAAGCTCTTCACATCTTTATTCCACATACAGAAGAGTGAACTTGCCCAGCTCTCACCTGGGAGCCTCGCCTCGCCTCGTCCCCTTCCCTCCGTCTCCCAATTTGAGGGATCCAAAGAACTACAATTCCCAGAGCTCCCTGGGAAAAGGGGTTAATAGTTAAACCAGTGTTCTTTCACTCAAAGTGCTCTCTTTTGCACCAGGATCTGGTTTGTTGAGTGGCAAAGAGTTCTGCTAAAAAGCAAGTTCTACATTCCCTGGTTTACATTGTATCACACACCACTTTTAACAAGTCACGGTTTCCCCAAAAAGAATTCCGGGAACTGTAGTTTTTAAAAGGCACCAAGCATTGTTAGGAGACAGAGCACAACAGTTCCTAGAGTTCCTTGGGAAACGGGATTGATCTCATCATTTTGCAGGATATCTGTGCTCCTTTTCTGTACGCAGAGTCCTTCTCTGAAACCAAGGAGCAGTAATTACTCTCTCTCTCTCCTGCATTTCTTGACATTTAAATGGCCCTTTGCCTTCAGCCAGCAGGAGATGGAAAGGGGTTTTGCTAATAAGGACAGTCAATCTCCAAGTGTTGATGACCAAACCTGACCTGGAGGTTTGCTGAGCCAGTGTGAATGTTTGGGATCAAGGTGCCAGTCTAATTTAAGAGGCAGGCGCCAAGTCTTCTGAGTTTAGCTTCCCTGGAGGTGGGAATCCTAAATGTAAACTGCTAATGGGTACACAGCAGGCCTTAATTCTCAAGGAGAGGAGGAGCAGCTGGAATCTGGGGCTGGTGGTACTTCCTGGTTGTTGTACCTGAGTAGCTAAAGGTTAGAATCTTAGAGTTGGAAGGGTCAACTAGTTTAATCTCAGCTAAAGCATCCAGGTTGCTCACTGGGGATGGGGAAAACTTTTCTGTTTTTCTTTTTAAAATATTAATACTCCACCCATCTGGCTGGGTTTCCCCAGCCACTCTGGGCGGCTTCTAATAGAATATTTAAAATACGGTAAAACATTAAACATTAAAAAAAATTCCCTATACAGTGGTACCTCTGGATGTGAACGGGATCCGTTCTGGAGCCCCATTCGCATCCTGAAGCGAATGCAACCCGCATCCACGGGTCATGATTCGCCGCTTCCGCACATGCGCGTGACGTCATTTTGAGCGTCTGCGCATGCACAAGCGGCGAAACCCGGAAATAACGTGCTCCGTTACTTCCGGGTCACTGCAGAGCACAATCCGAAAATGCTTAACCCGAAGCTACTTCAATCCAAGGTACAGGGCTGCTTTCAGATGTCTTCTAATTGTCAGATAGTTGTTTATTTCCTTGACATCTGATGGGAGGGCGTTCCACAGGGTGGGTGCCACTGCCGAGAAGGCTCTCTGCCTGGTTCCCGGTAACCTCACTTATCACAGGGAGGGAACCGCCAGAAGACCCTCAGCACTGGACCTCAGTGTCCGGGCTGAACAATGGGGGTGGAGACACTCCTTCAGGTATACACGGCCGAGGCTGTTTAGGGCTTTAAAGGTCAGCACCAACACTTTGAATTGTGCTTGGAAACGTGCTGGGAGCCAGTGTAGGTCTTTCAGGACTGGTGTTATACGGTCTTGACGGCCACTCCCAGTCACTAGTCTTGCTGCCGCATTCTGGATTAGTTGTAGTTTTCAGGTCACCTTCAAAGGTAGCCCCACGTAGAGCACATTGCAGTAGTCCAAGCGGGAGATAACCAGAACATGCACCACTCTGGTGAGACAGTCCGCTGGCAGGTAGGGTCTCAGCCTGCATACCAGATGGAGTTGGTAGACAGCTGACATGTTCGGGTGCAATTCGAGCTGTATTTTCACCTACTTCTCAGTTTCTGTGGCTGAGCTGTGGCATTGAAAGCAGGACCCTGTCTCAAAAGCGTGGGTGGCCTCACTCAGCCATGAAGGGTCAGTGGATGACCTTTACCCACTCACCTACCTCGCAGGGTTGTCGTGAGGGGGAGAACCATGATTTGAGGGATTGCCTGTGATATCAGAAGTAATGTATGTGCTGCTCTTGCACTCTGGTCCTGTTTGTGGGTATCTGGTTGGCTACTCTGAGAACAGGACCCTGGATTGGGTCAACAGGCGTGGTAAACCTTTTGACAACTGTTAACGACTAACCCTAACCCTATACAAGATCTCAAAGTAGCTGTAATATTACAAAAGAATTTCAGAAATAGACTGGAAAGAGAAGTTGCTGAATTGCAACTTATTACCAAACTTAAAACCATGGAGAGACCTGGTCTGAATAGAGACATTGGATTCTTATTTCATTATACATGGTAAAGCTGCCGGATCGGTCCTGGGCAGATCCCTCTGTGGGCTGGATCGTGCGTGTGTGTGAGTGCGTGCGCTTGTGATTTTCGGCATCTGCGCAGATGCGGTTTTCAGCGCCGCAAACATGAGTCCCCATGCTGTGCCAGTTTAGCACAGAGTACGAGTGGGCATCTCTGTTCAGGGGCGGCTCGGGGGCCGGTGAAACAACCTCTGTGGGCTGCTTCCGGCCTATGGGCCTTGGGTTGCTGACCCCTGCACAACAGCATGGCAAGGGAGCGAGAAGGGAGGAACAATGAGAGGCAGGAAGTGATGTATTAAAACAGTGGCAGAAGTTCGAGTACAGCAGAGATGGAGGAACTTGCATTCTGCATTTGAAAAACAGCTAAGTCCTGTTATCTGTTTAGATTATGCCAGCAAAGCAAAGATGGGTCGATTAAATAGAAGGCGGAGGAAAAGAAAGAATTGTGTGTGCATCTTTCATAGAATTATGCCTTATCACTGGAAATCCTGCAGTGCAAACTCATTGACTCCAGGGCTGACATGCAACTAGGTATTAATGCTGCTATTAATAGATCTAGCCCACATCATGTTCATTAATTTCAGTGGGTCTACGCTGAGTAAAACATAGCTGAATGCCAACCGCTGGAATTTACTGGGTGTTTGCAAGGGGTGAGGTGGGGCGGTGAATGATCTCTGCTCAGTGCTCTGATCGCAAGAAGGTCCCAGGTTCAGTGCAGTTTAAACGCAAGGGAGTGGGGGGTAGCTTGAGAACCAATCTTCTCATTTTGGAATTCCTGAACAGCTTCTGAGGATACCCAGGGTTTGTGTTTGCAACAGCTATAGAGTGTTGTCTAGCACTGTAGGACATTGAGAAGCTAGTTATCACTGGATCAAGTTCATCAGGTTTTTAAAACTCAGTTTTAATAAAGGTTTTCAACATATAATACAATAAAAACTAAGTAAATCATATATATATATCTGTGGCCTAAACCACAGAGCCTAGGGCTTGCCTATCAGAAGGTCGGCAGTTCGAATCCCTGCGATGGGGTGAGCTCCCGTTGCTCAGTCCCTGCTCCTGCCAACCTAGCAGTTCGAAAGCACGTCAAAGTGCAAGTAGATAAATAGGTACGACTCCGGTGGGAAGGTATACGGCATTTCCATGCGCCACTCTGGTTTGCCAAAAGTGGCTTAGTCATGCTGGCCACATGACCCAGAAACTGTCTGCGGACAAACGCTGACTCCCTTGGACTATAAAGCAAGATGAGCGCCGCAACTCCAGAGTCGTCCGCGACTGGACTAATGGTCGGGGTACCTTTACAGATAGATAGATAGATAGATAGATAGATAGATAGATAGATAGATGTGTGTGTGTGTGTGTGTGTGTGTGTGTACACACACACACACACACACACACATAATACAATAAAAACCAAACAAAGCTAAGATCTAAAGAGAATGAAAGAAAAGGGGAGAGAGAAAATAAAGAAGAAAAAAGAGGCACTCCCACGCAAACACAAAAGCTCATTGTAAAATAATAATAATATTTATACCCCGCCCATCTGGCTGAGTTTCCCCAGCCACTCTGGACTGCTCCCAACAGAATATTAAAAACACGATAAAACATCAAACATCAAAAGCTTCCCTAAACAGGGCTGCCTTCAGATGTCTTCTAAAAGTCTGGCAGTTGTTCTCTTTGACATCTGGTGGGAGGGCATTCCACAGGGTGGGTGCCACCACTGAGAAGGCCCTCTGCCTGGTTCCTCACTTCTCGCAGTTCGCCAGAAGGCCCTCGGTCCTGTAGCTTTAGGCCATCTAAAATTGTATGAACCCAGTTTGCTAATCTGTCAAATGGGTATAATAGAAATCTAGTTTCCTGGAGCTATTGAGAGGGGAAGATCTATATCCCCAAACATTTGTCTACAAACAAATTCTACATTTCACCTCCCCAATTCCTGGCTACATTCAGCTCTCCTCCTTCCCAGTTTTCCCTCTCCACCCAAACTATTCTTCTGACCTCTTCTCTGTCATTTCTCCCAAGTCCCAGCATTAATTTTCTTTGATACAGTCATGCTTATTTCTGACTGCATAGGTTCACCTTGGAAAGCAGGCTGGAGCCACTTAGTTTAAGCTGCAATGTTACCCATTAGCTTTTATCAGAAATGCAAACAATCCTGCAAAGAATGGTTAGCCTTTATAAACCGTTAGTGTGAAGATGGAACCCCCTTTAAGAAAAGGAAAGAAGTACCCAGCCTCTGCTTGATTATTTTCCTTTCACTTCCTCTATGGCATCATTTGCTGCTGCTCTTCAAAAGAGTCCTGGATCTGTGCTCTCCAGCATCATCTCCCACCTACAGAATGGTCTATGCCATCTTTTGGACCACTCTACTGCCTTTTAAGTCTTCTGCATCTTCCCCCCCCCTCCTTTCCTATTCCCTTTTGCCTGTTTTTCTTCCTTCTGCAATATCAGCAGCTCAGCCAATGGCAGCCTTCTGCCTGCCCCACTTCTCTGTGACATCAGCCAATCAGGACCGTCTTTCTCCATGGAATGTTCCATTTGGGAAGTTCCAGGGGTGAGCTGCCGTTGCTCGGTCCCTGCTCCTGCCAACCTAGCAGTTCGAAAGCACGTCAAAGTGCAAGTAGATAAATAGGTACTACTCCAGCGGGAAGGTAAACGGCGATTCCATGCGCTGCTCTGGTTCGCCAGAAGTGGCTCAGTCATGCTAGCCACATAACCCGGAAGCTGTACGCCGGCTCCCTCAGCCAATAAAGCGAGAAGAGTGCCGCAACCCCAGAGTCGGCCAAGACTGGACCTAATGGTCAGGGGTCCCTTTACCTTTACCTTTAGGAAGGTCCATCTCTCCTCCCCCTCGCTCTCATCCTCTGCCATCTTTCTCCATCCCTTCCTCCCCTCTTGCTTTCTCTCCTCTCTCTGGCACCTCTCCTCCAAACAACTCATTCAAACTTTGGCACCTCCATTCTGAGACTTGATCGATAGGGACCAGCTTACCAAGTTAATGATAATCGCAGAATAAATGCTGGTGTTTCAAAGTTCACCCAACTTTAGCAGCAGTTCGGATTCTCACCCCCCAACCCCCTGGCAACACACATAACCAAATGACCCGAGCCACGAGGATTTCATCGATCGGGTGGAGGAGTTTGAACTTGCCTTGCACTCCTCTCTCTCTCTCTCTCTCTCCTGCCCTGGGTTCAAGACTGCTTTGATTCTCTTCCTTATCGAAAACCTTTCCCCCTATCTTATAATGTCTGTTATTTTAGATAAAAAGCCCAATCAATTGAGCCCGAAAGTTTTATTTCCTTCTGATAACTCTGGGCCGGGCTATTTTAACGGGGAGGTCAGTGTATTTGCAGAGTTTGGAACAGACCCCTGCAGATACTTGTCAGCTGTTGCAAAAAAAATGCATGTTGCTGTTGTTGTTATTAATAATGTTAATATAGGTGCAGCCTTGCACCAGTTGTGAACCAGATGCACTGCATGAGTCATGCATTTACCGTATTTTTCGCCCCATAGGATGCACCGGCCCATAGGACGCACCAAGTTTTTTGGGGGGGAAATAAAGAAAAAAAATTATTCCCCCCCAGGTGCTTGTGGGGCAGGCGGCGGGGAGAAGCGCTCTTCTCCCCGCCGCCCACCTGCAGACCAGGTCCGGGGACAGCGGGAAGATGCGCTGCGCCTCCCAGCTGTCCCCGGAGCATGCGGGGCTGGCAGCGGGGAGAAGCACGCGTCTCCCCGCCGTCAGCCTCCAAACCACATCGGGAGACAGCGGGATGGCGGCGTTCCGCCTCCCGGCTGTCCCCCGACCTTGTGGGGCTGGCGCTGCGGCTCTCCTGAAGCCTGGAGAGCGAGAGGGGTTGGTGCGCACCGACCCCTCTCGCTTTCCAGGCTTCAGCAAAAGCCTGCATTCGCCCCATAGGACGCACACACATTTTCCCTTCATTTTTGGAGAGGAAAAAGTGCGTCCTATAGGGCGAAAAATACGGTATTCATTTCTTCTTTTGTGGACTAACATAAGGAGGCGAGGCTGGATTGACCCATCTAGTCCAGCATCCCATAGACCTTAGTGCAGGGCAAACTTTTTCAGCAGGTCCACTGTCCCTCAGACCTTGTGGGGGGCTTTACTATATTTTGAAAAAAAGAAATGAACGAATTCCTCTCCCCCACAAATAACCCAGAAATGCATTTTAAATAAAAGGACACATTCTACTCATGTAAAAACACACTGATTCCTGGACCATCTGCAGGGCAGATTTAGAAGGCTATTGGGCCTAATCCGGCCCCCGGGCCTTAGTTTGCCTACCCATGCCTTAGTGGGACAGTTGAACATATGCTTAAATACCTCTCATTGAAAGGTAAAGGGACCCCTGACCATTAGGTCCAGTCGTGGCCGACTCTGGGGTTGCGACGCTCATCTCGCTTTATTGGCCGAGGGAGCCGGCGTACAGCTTCCAGGTCATGTGGCCAGCATGACTAAGCCACTTCTGGCGAACCAGAGCAGTGCACAGAAACGCCATTTAGCTTCCCACCAGAGCGGTTCCTATTTATCTACTTGCACTTTGACGTGCTTTCAAACTGCTAGGTTGGTAGGAGCAGGGACCAAGCAACCAGAGCTCACCCCGTCGTGGGGATTCGAACTGCCAAAACCTTCTGATCGGCAAGTCCTAGGCTCTGTGGTTTAACCCACAGTGCCACCCACGTCCCTTTACCTCTCATTTACAAAGCCCTAAACACCTTGGGACTTAGGCCCTTAGCAGGCTGATGCTTCCGGACACAGGTTTCTCTCATTCTTGCTTAAGACACTTTAATCTTACACTGCCGTGCAAATCTGGGGATTATAACTCAAGGGCAGTTTGGAGCTCCTGTTCACTTCCTTGCATTTCGTGAGAAAAGCTGGCTGCTCAAAATGCGCAACGCCTCCGTTTCTCAGCCCCACCCACTTTTCAGCAAGCCCCGCCCAGGCTCTCTGGCAAGACGACGCCCCTTATTTTGCTCTTCCTTACATGTTTCCTGCACAGGAAACACTCCAGCAATGCTGCGGCCAAAGTTCAAGGGCAGCCGTGCGAGAGGAGGAGGGATGGTTTTCTTGGAAATGTTTTTTCCCTCCCGTCCCAGGAAGTCAACAGGATGTGATCTTTTTGCCTTGATCCTTAAAAGGGCTAACTCTTAGAATATGTGCTGTCTTGAAAGAGTAACTCCACGTGATTGAAAGCACCAGATCGTCCTTTTAGCTGATCCTTCCGCTTTGCGACGGTCTATAGCAGGGATCGGCAAAGTTTTTGTGGCTTGGGCCGGTTCACGGTTCTACAGACACCGCGGTGGGCTGGAGTGTGCACGCACACATGCACAAGCGCTATTTCCGGTGCTCCTTCCAGTGCAGCGGAAGGCGGTCCCCGCTCTGCTCTGTGCCGGTTTAGTGTGGTGCACGGGAGCTGACCGAGCGGGCGGCAGGGATCCTTTGGCTGGTTAAATGACCCCCATGGGCCTCTTGTGGCCCATGGGTCTTAGGTTGCCGACCCCTGGTCTATAGGGTGTGAAGCAGATGAACAGCTTTAGCTGCCCCACAATAACACGGTGAAATCAGCCATTAATGGCCCCCCATTTTGCAGATGAAGAAGCTGAGCCTGAGATACTTCTCTGAAGCAGGACTGCTGCCCTGTGTCTTCTGGTAATAAAGTAGTATAGTAAAGGTAAAGGGACCCTTGACCATTAGGTCCAGTCAAGGCTGACTCTGGGGTTGAGGCGCTCATCTCGCATTATTGGCCGAGGGAGCCGGCGTACAGCTTCCGGGTCATGTGGCCAGCATGACTAAGCCACTTCTGGCGAACCAGAGCAGGGCACGGAAACGGCGTTTACCTTCCTGCCGGAGCGGTACCTATTTAGGTACTTGCACTTTGATGTGCTTTCGAACTGCTAGGTTGGCAGGAGCAGGGACTGAGCAACAAGAGCTCACCCCATTGCGGGGATTTGAACCGCCGACCTTCTGATCGGCAAGCCCTAGGCTCTGTGGTTTAACCCAGAGCGCCACCCACGTCCCACAGCGGTAGCTGCTCCCAATTAGTCTACTGTCAGGGATCGATCTTCTATGTAGATTCAACTCCCTATGGACCCCTGCATGTCTACCATGCAACCCCTTTGTGGATTCTGCAAAGGATTCTGGGGGATATTCTAGGGCAGGGGTCGGCAAACTAAGGCCCGCAAGCCAAATCAGGCCCAGTTGCCTTCAGGATCCGGCCCCTGGACTGTACGTGGATCGGCGTGGGGATTCTGAAGGCTGGAAGACTCAGGACATAGAAGGAGGTATTTCTTCACGCATAGTTGAACTGTGGAACTTCCTCCCACAGGAGGGAGGAATGGCCATCAACCTGGATGGCTTTGAAAGAGGATTAGACAAAAATCATGGAGGTGAGGGTTATTGTTATTGTTGGCTCCTGGCCATGATGGCAGCATGCTGCCTTCACAGTTGGAGGCAGCAATGCTTCTGAATACCAGTTGCCTGGAAACCACAGGAGGAGAAAGGGCTCTTGTGTTCGAATCCTGCTTGTGGGTTTCCCACAGGCTGGTTGGCCCTTGTGGGGAAAGGATGCTGGACTAGATGGACCATTGGACTGGTCCAGTAGGCTCTTCTTATTTTCTAGGGATGTGCCTGCCGATCGGAAGGTCGGCAGTTCAAATCCCCGTGACGGAGTGAGCTCCCGTTGCTCTGTCCCAGCTCCTGCCAACCTAGCAGTTCGAAAGCACACCAGTGCAAGTAGATAAATAGGCACCAATGTGGTGGGAAGTTAAACGGCATTTCTGTGTGCTCTGGCTTCTGTCACGGTGTCCCATTGGACCAGAAACGGTTTAGTCATGCTGGCCACATGACTCGGAATGCTGTCTGTGGACAAACGCCGACTCCCTCGGCCTGAAAGCGAGATGAGCGCCACACCCCATAGTTGCCTTTGACTGGACTTAACCACCCAGGGGTCCTTTACCTTTCTTGTGTTCTTAAAAATAAAATAAATTGGTCTGATGCCAAATGCACAGAGTTTTATTATGTTTTCCATAATTGGGTGACGGCTGAATTTTCGCTCAGTTGTAAGCTTCTGGGAAGTGTTGATCTAATCTTAGCGGTGAAAAACATTATTTATTTTATTTCTACATTCATCAGAACTCTTTTTAAGACGTGCCCCGAATCGAAGGGCTATGGGGTCTGTGCAGACTGTGTCTGCAGATTGTGGAAGCAAAATTTGGAATCCTCTCCAAACCCATGCTAAAGTTTTGCAGAGGTTTTTCTTGGCGGTGGCAGTGTTTTAACTGCAAAACTTTGGCACGGATTTGGAGAGGATCCCAAATTTGGGGGTTCATGGGGGGTATAGTGGACTTGTGGGAAGATCTTCAAGTTGTCTTCCTGCTCTTACATTCTGTAGGAGCCCCCGAAATGCACAATTGGTGGCCAGGGTGTCTTGTGACAGACAGGCCTAAATATGTGAACTATTTCTGATAAGGCCATCAAAGGCAGGTCGGACACAAAAGTAATCCTGTTTGTTTTAACGTACAAAGGCTCCAGATTCTTCAAGACTGGGCTGGTATCAAAGGAAAGCTCTGGTCTGATGTCCTACATGTTCACTCACTGCTAGTCCTGGGACAGAATGAGGAAGTCTCCTTCTTGCTGGGGTTGTCTCCTAGCTGAGTGCTCTTAGTTAAATTTTAACCGCTCAAACCTCCAGACTGCCCATCCCAGCCCCACCCTGTAGCTCTGCAGACATCTGGCGTAGGAGCTTTGCAGAAATCCTATAGGCAATTGATTTGGATCAAGGGCTCCTGATTCAAAATGCTGCCATGCAACTTTTTCAGACTTTGGTCTCCTGCTTCAACCTCCCGGTCAACCCGGCCCATTAAGTCCTATGATTATGTGAGCGATTGTCAGCTTTCATGTATTTTCTTTTCCAGGCTGTGCGAACAAAGCTCTAAATAAGGCCGGCTTAAGTGAAACCTATTGACTTTGAGACTTAAAAGCATTCTTTCAAACAAAAAAGCCGGGTGGGTGGAAATCTCATGATTCTAAAGCTAGGCTCGGGATTTTTTCAACGCCCAGGTTGCAGTGTGCGCAGAACATCGCCTTTGCGGGCAGTACTGCCCTCTGAAGGATGAAGCGCTGAATTGTGAGCCTTCGATGATGGGAATTAAGTCAGAGAACAGGTGGGATTCAGCCTTACATGGGTGGAAGATTACAGGGCTGAGGTCGCCATGGCAAAACTCTTGATTCTGGACCCGAAGAATGACTGCAAGTCATTGGCACTGATTTCTTGTGATTTCAGAGCTTTACTGCTTGCATCATTTGTTTGCATTTCATTTCATAAATTTGGTTATACCGCTGGATTGTAGACAAACAAACCTCAAAGTGGTTACTTCTTTTTCTCCACCATGGATAGCTTAGTTGGTTAGAGCATGGAGCATGTAAACGCCAAGGTTTGAAATTCGATCCCTGTATGGGACAGCTACAAATTCCTACGTCACAGGGGGGTTGGACTAGATGACCCTCGGGGTCCCTCCCAACTCTTCAATTCTTTGACTCTATTCTATGATTTATTCCAGTATTTTGAACAGGAGGCTGGATGAGATGTGCCATTGGCCGCACCCAACAGCCACCTTCTTATGTCCTTACGTAGACGTGTTTTTTAATCTGTTTTTTAGCTTATCCTTGATTTTAATTATTGTGATCTTTCAGGGTCTAGAATTCTTTAGTTCATTGTTTTATTCTTCTTGTAATCGCTTTTGAGGTTTAGTGGGGGGGTGGGCGCATTCTCCTAACAATCAAATATACAGTGCTACCTCAGGTTAAGTACTTAATTTGTTCCGGAGGTCTGTTCTTAACCTGAAACTGTTCTTAACCTGAAGCACCACTTTAGCTAATGGGGCCTCCTGCTGCCGCTGCGCCGCCGGAGCACGATTTCTGTTCTTATCCTGAAGCAAAGTTCTTAACCTGAAGCACTATTTCTGGGTTAGCAGAGTCTGTAACCTGAAGCGTATGTAACCTGAAGCATATGTAACCTGAGGTACCACTGTACAGTGGAAGCTCTGGTTGGCAACGTGATCTGTGTGGGAGGCACGTTCACAACCTGCAGCGTTCGCTACCTGCAGCACCGCATCTGCGCAAGCGTGGGTCGCGATTCAGCGCTTCTACTCATGTGCAAAGCGCGATTTAGTGCCGTTCCGGTACTTCTGGGTTCAGTGCGGTGTGCAACCTGAAAACGCTCAACCTGAAGCACCTTACCCGAGGTATGACTGTATATGATCTATTTGAAACAAATAATCAATAAATGGTAGCCCGGAACATCTGGAGAGCACTGAGTCGGTCTAGGCTGGCTTTACTAATACCTGCAATACAGTGCCTTAAGCCATCATTTTTAAAAAAACAAAACAGAACCATATGAGCTTTATTTTATTTTTTAATGTCAAAACCAGCTCACAGCCTGGATAGTTTGAAAAGGAAACCTGTAGGCAGTCTCCTTCTTCTCCATTTCTCCAGCAGACCAAATCAATCAAGCGTGGGGGGTATTTTTTCTGGACATGTTTCCAAACACAAAAGTGTTGAAGGAAGAAAAGGAGGGCACAGGGTTTTCCAGGGCAGGTGTTTGCACTTAATTCTGCAGAATTTGAAAGGTGGATTTTTATTATTATCATTCCCAGCTATATGGAAGGAGGCTGAGCATCTGAGCCCATCCTGAGAGTAGGGCTCCGTTTTCAGGTTTAACTGAGGGCCACCAGGACCAATATTAAGTTGCCAGTGGTGACCAGCCAGTCCCCCCCCCCAAAAAAAACCCCTCACAGGCAGAGTAGATAATGGGGATGGGGCACTTCAGCTGGATCTGGCCCTCCATACCTTTTTCTCAGGCCCTCAGGACTCTCCCCCAAGCCCCACCCATCACATCCTCCTTGGGTGCTTTTGTCCCTGTTGAAATTCCATTTTGTTAGCTTGCCCTCACAGGCACTGTGGTCTAAACCGCTGAGCCTCTTGGGCTTCCCAATCAGAAAGTCAGCGGTTCGAATCCCTGCGACGGGCTGAGCTCCTGTTGCTCAGTCCCAGCTCCTGCCAACCTAGCAGTTCGAAAGCACGCCAGTGCAAGTAGATAAATAGGTACCACTGTGGTGGGAAGGTAAATGGCGTTTCCGTGCACTCTGGTTTCCGTCACGGTGTCCCGTTGCGCCAGAAGGGGTTTAGTCCTGCTGGCACATGACCTGGAAAGCTGTCAGTGGGCAAACGCCGGCTCCCTCGGCCTGAAAGCGATATGAGCGTCACAATCTCATAGTCGTCTTTGACTGGACTTAACCATCCAGGCGTCCTTTACCCTTCACCTTTACCTTTTACCTTCTCCAATTTGTTAAGGTCATTTTGAATTCTGATTTTGCCTTCTGCGGCATTAGCTACCCTTTCTCGTTGGGTGTCATCTGCAAAGCATCCCCTCAACTCCTTCATCCAAGTTATTTATAAAGATGTTGAACAACAACAAGCCCAGGACAGAGCCCTGCGGAACCCCGCTTTTCTTTTTCTTTTATTCATTTTCACTTTTACCATTTGATATCATACATAAATCAAAATCATTATACAAATGGGATTCTCAGAATCCCTGAACTTCCTTCCACCCCTCCACAGTTTCCCCAGATATTCTTTTCAAATTGCATTGTATCATATTCTCCACATTTTCTTCAAACTCAATTTTAATCGTAATTCTTGCTTCACTGCATGTTTTCAATTGTCTACAGTGTTCTTTCAAGTCACTTAAAAAAATTCCCCATTCTTTATTAAATTTATTGCCCTCTTGGTTGCTGATTTTCCCGGTCATCTTCGCCAATTCGGCATAGTCTATCATCTTTATCAGCCATTCTTATTTTGTAGGTAGAGCACCCCACTTTTGACTTTTTCCCAGGAATGTCAAGCAAGGAGAAACCATTATCTACTCTGCCTGCGAGCTATTGGGGGCTGCTCTGGAGGGAAGGACCTAAAACCAGTGGATTCAAACCACAAGGAAGGAGATTCCGACTAAACATCAGAAAGTACTTTCTGACAATAAGAGTCCGTTGACAGTGGAATGGGCTCCTCCTTCAGAAGGTGGCGGATTCCCCTTCATTGTAGGTTTTTAAACAGAAGTTGGGTGTCATGGATTATTTAGATTATTCCTATATTATTTGCAGGGACGCAGGTGTCGCTGTGGGTTAAACCACAGAGCCTAGGACTTGCCGATCAGAAGGTCGGCGTTTCAAATCCCCACGACGGGGTGAGCTCCTGTTGCTCGGTCCCTGCTCCTGCCAACCTAGCAGTTTGAATGCATGTCAAAGTGCAAGTAGATAAATAGGCGGGAAGGTAAACTGCGTTTCCGTGCGCTGCTCTGGTTCGCCAGAAGCGGCTTAGTCATGCTGGCCACATGACCCGGAAGCCGTACGCCAGCTCCCTCGGCCAGTAAAGTGAGATGAATGCCGCAACCCCAGAGTCGGTCACAACTGGACCTAATGGTCAGGGGTCCTTTTACCTTTACCTTTATATTATTTGCAGTATTCCTGTATTGCATGGGTTGGACTCGATGGTCCTTTCCAACTCTGCAATTCTACAGTGCTTTAAATGGATGGTTTGAACGGATGCTGCAGTAGAAGGCCTCGATTCAGCTCTCATCCTCTTCTTCCTTATGTACAGGGCCGGATTTAGGTTTGATGAGGCCCTCAGCTACTGAAGGTAATGGGGCCTTTAGATCTCCAGCTGTCCTTTGTCAACAACAAATTGTCGCTGTTTTGTGTGTTGAATATATGCTATATGGTAATTTATGGACCTAAGAAGCATCTAAAGCCATTTGCACATAATAGGAGCCTACACAACACAAAACACTGTTGCTGTATGTAGGTTTTATTTTATTTGTTTTTTATCTTATATTTTGGAAATGTACATCCAGGGTGTTTTTTTCCTTTAATTTTTTTGGGGGGGCTCCCAAGAGAGTGGGGCCCTAAGCTATAGCTTGTTTAGCTTATACGTAAATCCGGCACTGCTACTGTGGCCCTACTTGATACGCTAGTCCTTTTCATTTAAACCAACACTTTGCAATGCACATTCAGCATAATTTAAGCACCGAGTTCGTTAATTGCACGCCAGGCTTGATAGCTAAGGAACTGGGGTTGAGGAGGTTACCCAAAACAGCCAGAAAATAGGTGTGCACAGATTGGATGCTCTGCAGCCGGGGATTTTCCATGTTTCAGGAAGACCTTGACATTCCTCTCCCTTTCCCCCACCCCTTGCTTGACATTCATCTTTGCAGGATTTTGCACCATTGCACCAAAGTCACCCCCTTATCGTAGCAATTTGTCGAAGGAAGAGCAGCTTTTTGGTGTTTTGAGGACTCTGTGGAAGTGCTCCTCTCGAGATCTGTTTAGACGGAGCCTCTTAAGGAGAGCACAAATCCCTCCTCCGCCGAGGCGATTTGCCCATCTGGGTGTGTTGATATTAAATTTCCCTCTGTCTGTAAACAGAGCGCCAGGGGGAGGACGAAGGAAGGCCCGTTGGCATTGGGGAGGAGGATGGAGATGAAAGCAGCTGGGATGATGAAAGGGAGTCCAGATAACTGATGGGGGAACAGGCAGATTCCACCCATCAGTGCCTGAACTGGTTACCTGGGAGGCAGCTCACCAACCCCCCCTTGTGGCTGGACTGTGGATTCCATTTTTTGTGCAAAATTTACCATATTTTTTGCTCTATAAGACTCACTTTTTCCCTCCTAAAAAGTAAGGGGAAATGTGTGTGCGTCTTATGGAGCAAATGCAGGCTGCGCAGCTATCCCAGAAGCCAGAACAGCAAGAGGGATTGCTGCTTTCATTGCACAGCGATCCCTCTTGCTGTTCTGGCTTCTGAGATTCAGAATATTTTTTTTCTTGTTTTCCTCCTCCTAAAACTAGGTGCATCTTGTGGTCTGGTGCGTCTTATAGAGCGAAAAATATGGTGCTTTCTCTCTCTCTTTGGTTCTTGGGTGGCTAAGAAGAAATTGGAAAATAATAGCAATTAGGGCCTCAAATAAAAATGGTTGCCGCACAGAGTGCTGCTATTTTTTTTTCTTTTTCTCGTTTTCTCCATTTTATTATTTATTCAGTCTGTATTATTTAACAAATGTCGTAACATTTGTACCCTGCTGGATCGTAAAAACAACAACAACCAAACGAAAAAAACCTCAAAGCAGTTTATATAAAAAAAGATAAAACGATAAAAATCATCCGTAAGAAAAATTAACGACAATAATTTTGACAACTTTTTAAAAGCTTGTTTAAAAAACAAAAAAGGCTAAAACCAAATTATATTGTTTTATATCTGCCGTAAGCTGCTCAGAGTGGCAAGAGACACCCAGTGATAATATGGGCAGGGTATAAATATTATTATTGTTGTTGTTGTTAAACCTGCATCAACTTTCTACACACCCACACATATATATTAGTTTTTAACATATCATTTCCCACAATCTTTTAACACAATTTCATATCTTATACAAATTTTTTTTTACTTCCATCAATCACATCTGAAAATTTTCCAATCTTTTTCACTTAATTTACATTTCTTAATTTCACTATTACTTTTAATTATCTTGCCCAATAACTCTCTTCATAACCTTCCTTGCAATATCTGATATATTCCTCCTTACAAAACGTCTTGTAATCCTACTAGCGTAATCTGTTGATTACAATTGCTTTTCAAATAATTCACATATTTATTCCAAAGATTTTGGGTATGATATACAGTTAGAAGATTGCATCAACTTTCTAAACATCTGGGTAGGCTTGTCTAAGCAATATTTTTTTAGCAGGTGCCTCCACTGTGCTCTTTCCGGTGTCTGCTTTGAACAGCCCTTCTGGCTACTAGCCATCAATGGATCAGTCAAGTCCTCTTTTAAAGCCATCCATGTTTGTGACCATCACTGCCTCCTGTGGAAGAGAGTTCCACAGTTTCTTCTTTGGCAATCACTCGTAGCTAAGATTGTCTTCCACAGTCTTAACAGTGAGTCCGTAAGTGACTGTGGTGGCCAATTCTGGATCCACACATTCCTTCCACAATGGGGACATCGGTTTCCGGGTGGGAGTTGATCACGGTGAAGGTTTGCCAAGCGTGCCTTCCTCTTAGCATGTTTCTCCCTTTCGTCCTGAGTTCGAGTGTCTTCAGCGTCTGTGAAACCTTTGGTAAAGGCTGTTCTCCAGTTAGAGCACTTGCAGGCCAGTGTTTCCCAGTTGTCAGTGTTTATGCTACATTTTTAAAGATTTGCCATGAGAGAGTCTTTAAACCTCTTTTGCTGACCACCAGCATTATGCTTTCCAGTTTTCAGTTCAGAATACAGTGGTACCTCGGGTTACATACGCTTCAGGTTACAGACTCCACTAACCCAGAAATAGTACCTCGGGTTAAGAACTTTGCTTCAGGATGAGAACAGAAATCGTGCTCTGGTGGCGCGGCAGCAGCAGGAGGCCCCATTAGCTAAAGTGGTGCTTCAGGATAAGAACAGTTTCAGGTTAAGAACTGACCTCCGGAATGAATTAAGTTCTTAACCCGGGGTACCACTGTAGAGTTGTTGCTTTGGAAGACAATAATCAGGCATCCGAACAAGATGACCAGTCTAATGAGGTTGATGTCGAAGAGTCATTGCTTCAGCACTGGTGATCTTTGCTTCTTCCAGTCCACAGGCATTAGTTTGCCTGTCTTCCCAAGTGATGTGTGTAAAAATTTTCAGAGACAAAATTTAACTCTCTCCTGTTTGGCGGGAGAGCAAATATTCCCTGTGACAGAAAGAGGTTGTTTTTTAAAAAGCTCCAAGAGCAACATAAATCTTTTCTGAATGGAATGTGCTTGCCTGCTGCAGCTATTGTTCTGTTGCTGGGCAGGAGCTCTCCAGACCCTTTGCTGCCTTGAATAAGCATTTCCTTTCCAAGTTGTTGGGACACCCACGGGAAAGAATCGGTGTCAAGAGGCCTCATAATGACAGGATTTAGAGCTGGTGCCAGAAGCCGAAAGCCATAAATTGAGACGCCTTTGCCTGCTGCTCTTGGCACAGAGAGCCAGGCTTCTGAGTCCAATGGCCTCTGCAGCTCCTCCTCTTTTAAAATTACAAGAAGCAGGTGAGGGGTTTGGCACCGTGGCTGGATCTGCGCTGATATGAAAATATAGAAAAAATGCTATAAAAATGCAGTTTATCGTTGGCGATGGACTGCTGCTCTTTGGCGCCCTCTGGCACCACATTTTTATAATGCATTTTTTAACGTTCTAATTGACCCATGTACCTGAGTCCTTTGTCATGGAAAGAATCCTCACCTGCTGCCATAGGAGTCAATGTTGTTGGGATACTGCCAGGGAGATAAAGTCCATCAAGGCCCCCAAGCCGTCTGCCGGACGATCCATTGACCTCCCGTAGTCACGCAGTATCAACAATTAGCGACATGAGTTTCTAGAAGATTTCTTGCCACATTCCAGAGCTCATGCACACTCTATCAGCAGATAGTCACAGCAAAAGTTGCACCCAGGAGAGCATTATTTACAAGTTTATTCAGCGTTGATCAGAACACAGAAAAACATGACCGACTGCTTTAGTGTCTGCGACACCAGAGAGAAAACGAAAGCAACAGAAAACATAAACATCCTGTGAACAGGAAATACGCAGACTCTGACTCACAAAGCCTGCTCCCTTTTAAGGTGGAACGGAAATATCCTAACATCCTCCCCCTTTCCGTGTAACCTGTAGTACCTGTGGTTCAACCCAATTGCAACCTTTGTACGTAAACCTTAAGTTGTTCTCTGTTAACAACCTTAGACAACAGATCAGCAGGAATTTCATTTCCTGGCATGTAGGACACCTGAATGAGTCCTTTCTGAATACACTCTCTTGCACGATGTAGCTTAATCTGCAAGTACTTGGTCCTTTGCTTGCAACTCTCCGAGTTCAGCAAAGCCAAACACGATCTATTGTCTTGATACACTTGTACAGGACATTTCACAGAAACTCTGATGTCCTTAAACAGTTGCATCAACCATTCACAATCCATGAGTGAAAATGACAGAGCATTGAGTTCTGCTTCACAGGAACTTAGGCTCACTGTCGTCTGCTTTTGCACAACCAGTCAAACAGGCAGTGGTTGTACATGTAGCATACTCCAGAAGTGCTTGTACCATCCGTGGTGTCACTTCCAAAACTTGCATCTGCAAAGATTTCAAGACCTCCAGTCTTCTGACTGGTGAACCTCAGCCTGTAGTGCAAAGTCCCTTTCAAATAGCGGGCTATGCGCTTCAGAGCTTTCCAATCCTGAACAGTAGGATTGTTGGCATGTCTGCTAAGCAGGTTAGTGCTTACAGCTATGTCAGGTCTTGAGCATCTAGCAATGAAATTCAACTTGCCTAGAATGCATCTGTACAGCGTAGTGTCAGAAAACGCTTCAGCAGTACTGTCTACCTGGTAACCTGTCACCAGCGGTGTGTCTGCTGGGTTTGCATCAACCAAATTCAACCTGGTTAATACATCAGCAATTTTCTGTGTTTGGTGTACCAGAAAATTACCTGCTTGGTCCTTCTCCACCTGCAGAGAAAGATAGTTGGATACCTCACCAAGATCCTTCATGTCAAAGTGCTCCTTCAGCTGAGCTAGGGTGCTTTGGTAGAAAGCCTGATTCTTCCAAAACATCAGAAGATCATCAACAAAACATAAACAATACAGTTTGTTTTGCCCTCCTCCTTGACAAACACACATGGATCAGCTTTGCCCTGGTGAAAACCTAGAGAAAGCAATGTCTCAGTGAGTTTTGTGTTCCAACACCTGGCACTCTGCTTGAGACCATATAAGGATTTCCGCAGTTTACAGACCATTCCCTTCTGTATCTGCATCCCGTCAGGTGGAAGCATAAACAGCTCCTCGTCCAAAATCCCGTACAAAAAGCTGTATTAATGTCATGATGGGAAACATGCAGTTTCTCCTCTGCAGCAATCTTGAGCATCAGCCGAATGCTCTCATATTTGACGGTGGGTGAGTAGGTCTCGTGGTAATCCTGTCCTGGTACCTGTGAAAAACCTCTGGCAACCAATCTGGCTTTGTGTCTGACAACCTTGCCATTCTGGTCTGTCTTGGCCTTGAAGACCCATTTGCTGCCAACCAGTCTCATTCCTGGGACTACCGGTACCAATTCCCAAGTTTGGTTCCTGTTCAAGGAATCAACTTCAGCCTTCATGGCATTAAGCCAAGGCTCAGCATCTTTAGAGGTTAACTCCTGAACCTCTTTGAAGCTTGAAGGTTCCCACACCTTCTCTGAGCTACTAAGAACAGCAGTTGCTGTCTTAGCAAACTCATCAGCAAATCTCTTTGGAGGTCTGCCCTTCGTGGCTCTCTCAGATCTGCGTACTAGACGCAAGTCTTCTGGACTCATCTCCTCCTTCTTAGGAGAAAAGTGACCAATGGTGAACAGTGGTTCTTCCAGTTCATTGTCAGACGCATCAGATGGTCTGACTGAGGCCTTGCGCTCTTGTAGTCTGCTGTGTCATCACTGTCACCGACATCAGCAGCAGCGCCGCCCACTGAACTGGAATCCGAACTCTGATCATCATCATCATCATCATCATCCTCAGCAGCTTCCTCAGCTTTAGCTGCTTCTTTGACATCACCTTCATCCTCCTCTGGGTAACTCTGGAAAATTCCCACATTTTCCCCCCACTTAGGATTGTACTCAACACTCCTTGTGAACTTAATGGACTTAGAGTTAGTCATCCATACCCGGTATGCACCTTTTTCGTACCCCATGAACAAACCATGTGCCCCACGCTTCCCAAGCTTGTTGCTCTGTGGGGTGTGTACCCACATGTCAGAACCAAAGATTCTCATGTGCTTGATGTTGGGTTTCTTACCAAACATCTTCTCATAGGGAGTACAACCAATAGGTGATGACAACCTGCGATTAAAAGTGTAAACAAACGAGTTCAAAGACTCCCCCCAAAACTTCTCAGGGAGATTGGCATCATGCAACAATGTTTTCAGTCCTTGCAGCAACGTTTGCTTTGCTTGCTCACAAATCTCCCATGGAGATCCAGGACTTGAGAGGCTATGCTGGATTCCCTTCTCAGTCAGGAAAGCTTCAAACTGCTGAGAAGTGAACTCCCGCCTCGATCAGTAAACAGACAGCCAATGCGTTTACCATGAACATTGTCCAACCAAGCACAGAATGCCTTGAACTTAGGAAACGCTTGCGATTTCTGCTCGAGCATAAACACATGAATGTACCTGGAAAAAGAATCAATTAGAACCATGAAGTACCTTGCTCCACCCAAAGAGGGCGCAAGTGGACCAACCAGGTCTGCGTGCACTAGCTGGTAGGGTTTGGAAGCCTGCCTGCTAGACTCCTTGCCTTTTGGAGCAACCTTCACCTTGTTCTCTGCACAAGATACACATTTCATGTGAAACTTACAGGGTTTGATGTTCAAACCCTCAACCATCTCTGGCATCTTGGCCAGTGCCTTCCAAGAGAGATGGCAAAACCTTCGATGTGCATCGTGAATGCATCCTGCATGAAGAACTTTGTTAGTTTGTGCAACACAACAAGAATCAGCATTAGACACAATAGCACCATTGTCATCATAAGTTATACAGAACAAGCCATCCATAAACTTTGCATGCAAAATGTCCTCTTTGCCTTTTCTGATGACACAGACGCTCCTCTTGAAGGAAATCTCAAAACCACGCCCAGTCAGCTGTGGGACACTGAGCAAATTGTCTGCAGCGCCTGGAACATACAGTACATCTTTGATGGTAGTGTGCAGACTTGCCAGTTTCACAGTCCCTTCTCCTGCGATTCGCAACGTCTTTCCGTCAGCCAGGTGGATCTCACCTTCTTGAGGTTTGAAGGAGATAAATAGGTGGCGGTCCTTTGAGACATGGCGGGTACAGCCTGAATCAACAACAAACCTGGCCTTGGCCTTTGGAGCAGCCTTTGCAGCAAGCAAAACCTTGTTTTCCACCGGCGTGGGCTTTTGCAGCTTGCCCCCCTGCTCCTGGCCATCAGACTTGCCTTTAGCCTTTGGTGAAGCTGTGCCAGTAAACAAAACCTTGTTTTCCACTGGCGTGGGCTTTGCAGCTTGCCCCCTGCTCCTGGCCATCAGACTTGCCTTTAGCCTTTGGTGAAGCTGTGCCAGCAAACAACGCCTTGTTTCCTCTGGCGTGGGCTCTTCACCCTCCCTCTGCTTCTGGCCATCTGCAGGCGTCTGCCTCTGTTTACCTTTGCCCTTCCGGCCTCTGCAAAGGCGATGACCTTGGCTCCCACGAGAAACAGAGCTCTCAGCTGCCGACTCCTTGGCTCCCCTGGAGGCTGGAATGCTGCCTGGGATGACGTGACAGTCAGCTCCCCTGCAGCTTGCAACCGGTGCCCTCAGCATCCCTGCATTCACTCGCATTCTGGGAAACAGCCAGGACCTCCGATGCAGTCAAACTCTGGGCTGGGATGACTGGCAGATGGGCTATCTTCAAAGCATGCCACATCTTTCGTGCAGTCAGATTGCCAGCTAGCGTTTTTATTTCCTCCAGAGAGACGGACAAGACGATTATGTCTATCGCCCTCAAATTTTCGGACTCCCATCTTTCTGTCAGAGGAACTGGAGGGGCTTCAGACACAGTATGCCACACTCCAAACTGACGCAGCAAGCTCTCACACCACACAGCCCAGGTCCCATAATTGTGCCGATTTAACTTTGGGCACGCAGCAGCCTCAGAAGCTTGGAAAAACTCCATTCCAGGTTTCTGCTTGAGCCGTGAGTCTTATTCACTTCAGAGACTCCTTATCTTAGCAGCTCATTAATCACGAAGCCTTTGGCGCGTCTCCCAGATCCATTAATCTGCCGGAGTTCAAAGGCCCTTGCCTCGGCAAACAGAAAAGCCTCACTTTCGCTTTTCTTCCACATACCTTTCAGCAGTCTGTCGCAGTCTTACTCTCCTGTAAGTGCTGTGAATCTGGGCCCATAACCTGTTGTTGGGATACTGCCAGGGAGATAAAGTCCATCAAGGCCCCCAAGCCGTCTGCCGGACGATCCATTGACCTCCCGTAGTCACGCAGTATCAACAATTAGCGACATGAGTTTCTAGAAGATTTCTTGCCACATTCCAGAGCTCATGCACACTCTATCAGCAGATAGTCACAGCAAAAGTTGCACCCAGGAGAGCATTATTTACAAGTTTATTCAGCGTTGATCAGAACACAGAAAAACATGACCGACTGCTTTAGTGTCTGCGACACCAGAGAGAAAACGAAAGCAACAGAAAACATAAACATCCTGTGAACAGGAAATACGCAGACTCTGACTCACAAAGCCTGCTCCCTTTTAAGGTGGAACGGAAATATCCTAACATCCAACTCCTAGGGACCGAGGTCCCTGCAGGGGCCAGGGGCCCCCAAATTTGAACGCCATTGCCATTCAAATAGTGCGCGTGCACCATGTCATGTGATGGGTTCTGTGGGGCAGAGCTTACCTGGACCCGCCAAAGTTTTACCCAAGTTTTACCCAGCCAGGCTTTGCAAAAGGGAGAAGAAGCTGGCCAAGGCATCAAAAGAGCCTCCCCAAAGATTAGACAATCTACTAATTGCAATGGCAACAGTGGGTGTTTGTGCAAAATAGCCACGAGTTTGTGCAAAATAGCCAGAATGAATTGTATGATGGGAGCGAACGTGGCGTAGTAGTTAAGACCTGGGAGATACAGGTTCAAATCCTCACTCAGCCATGGAAGCTCACTGGGTGATCTTAGGCCACTTGCTGTTGCTCAGCCTCACCTCACTGGGTTGTTATGAGGATAAAATGGGGGGTGGAAAACCATACAGATGTCAAAGAGAAGAACAACTACCAGACTTTTAGAAGACATCTGAAGGCAGTCCTGTTTAGGGAAGCTTTTAATGTTTGATGCATTGCTGTATTTTAATATTTTGTTGGAAGCCGCCCAGAGTAGCTGGGGAAGCCCAGCCAAATGGGCGGGGTATAAATTTATTATTATTATTATTATTATTATTATTACTACTACTACTACTACTACTACATAGTATGCTACCTTGGCGGGACGCAGGTGGTGCTGTGGGTTAAACCACAGAGCCTAGGACTTGCCGATCAGAAGGTCGGCAGTTCGAATCTCCGCGACGGGATGAGCTCCCGTTGCTCGGTCCCTGTTCCTGCCAACCTAGCTGTTCGAAAGCACGTCAAAGTGCAAGTAGATAAATAGGTACTGCTCTGGCGGGAAGGTAAATGGCGTTTCCGTGTGCTGCTCTGGTTCGCCAGAAGCGGCTTAGTCATGCTGGCCACATGACCCGGAAGCTGTACCTCAGCCAATAAAGCAAGATGAGCGCCGCAACCCCAGAGTCGGCCACGACTGGACCTAATGGTCAGGGGTCCCCTTTATGTTTACTATGTTCTACCTGAACAATTGGAAGCAGCAATGCCATATTTCATAAAGTGGAAAACAGGACATATAAGTTGTTCTCCAAAAAGAAATTGAGTTTTTGAGCTATTTGGGCCGGGGGGGGGGGGGGGATAAAAAGGAACACTTCCGACATGGGTTGCCATACACCCAGGTTTTCCTGGATGTTTTACCAATTTATGCGATTGATCCCCGGACGCTATTTTTGACAGGCAAATCCCAGCTATGTCTGGACATATACACCAAAGAAAACCCCGTGTTGCAAAACAGAACACTCTGAACAGCAGACAGTACATGGCCATGGATCAGCTATCACTAAAAAGTGCTTTTTAGTGATAGCTGATCCATGGCCATTTGATGTGCCTTTGGTGACTATTAATTTGCTGATGAAGGTTTATCATTGAAACAGTTGGTTATCCTAGAAGAACTGTACTGTCTGCTGCTGTGCTTTGAGCATTCTATTGCGATGTTTGGAGCACCCATCATCTCACCTGTGTGGGATATTGAGTGTGGAAAGGCATTCTGCCTCCATTTCGGTGATCTTTGGCAGTGACTTACCATTCCTGTTCACGGAACATTTATTTGTTTCTTGTTCGTTTGTGACTCCATGCAAATATTATATGTCTTCTGTTTATGTCTGGACATATGGCAGCCCTAGGAGAGTGCTCTTGTGCTCAGGTCCTGCTTCCCAAAGACATCTGGCTGGTTGAAGTGAAAGCAGGATGCTGGGCAAGATGGGATTGGCTGGCTCTTGCATGGGGCTGGGCGAATGTTTGGTTTGGTGGACATCAACTTTTGCTTTGCACCATCTTGGAAAGGAGAGCGAGTCCATTCCAACAGCACAATTAGCAGGGTGGAATTTGATGCGTTGCGGCCTCCAAGGCCTGCAGCTGTTATTTTTAAAACGTTCCGCTCCACAGCAAGTTTCACCCCCGCTTTGCAAGTGATTCCAGCTTCTGTCTGGCACAGGACTGAGGCTGAATTTCTTCCAAAAAAAAGAAGAAATGCGTTTCTTATCAGCTTGGGCCTGGACGTTATGTGTGCTCTGCCTAAGAATTGCAGCACAAACAGCCCTCTGTTACCGCATGGTTATAAATCCTGGGCCACATATAAATCCAGAGCATATCAGATGGCAGGGGCATCGCTTAGGATTATTTTCCTAATAACATAAGAAGAGCATACCCTCCAACATTTTTCTGACGAAAATAGGGACATCCTATTCTATCCTTATCATTATCGTTATTGTACTATTTATACCCCACCCATCCAGGGCCGGATTTAGGTTTGATTACTGAAGGTAATGGGGCCCGTTATATGTCCAGCTCTCCTTTGTCAACAACAAATTGCTGCTGCTTTTTGTGTTGAATATATGCCATATGGTAATTTATGGACCTAAAAGGTATCGCAAGCCATTTGCACATGTGGCCATGCAACCAGTCCATTCAGAATGTAGGCTCCCTATATATAGAAAGGAGCAAAGCAGTGATATTTTAGGGAGCAGGTGGGGCCCATTATTTACATCATGGGAACCTACACAGCACAAAACACTTTGCTGTATGTAGGTTTTATTTTATTTGTATTTTTTTATCTTATATTTTGGAAACATACATCCAGGTGTGTTTTTTTTCTTCAATTTTTTGGCCCTAAGCTATAAGCTTGTTTAGCTTATACATAAATCTGGCACTGCACCCATCTGACAGGGTTAGCCCAGCCACTCTGGGCAGCTTCCCACATATATAAAAACATAATAAAACATTAAGCATTTTGTTTAAAAAAGCCCCTTCCTTTTACTGGGCTGCCTTCAGATGTCTTCTAAAGATCCCCATGGCTCAGGGGTCGCATAACTCCCGACCCTCTCTACATTTCTCCAATGAAAATAGGGACGTCCTAAGGAAAAGCGGGAGACGGGTGGCGGGACACAGGTGGTGCTGTGGGTTAAACCACAGAGCCTAGGACTTGCCGATCAGAAGGTTGGCGGTTCGAATCCCCACGACGGGGTGAGCTCCCGTTGCTCGGTCCCAGCTCCTGCCAACCTAGCAGTTCGAAAGCACGTAAAAGTGCATGTAGATAAATAGGTGCCACTCCGGCGGGAAGGTAAACGGCATTTCCGTGCGCTGCTCTAGCTCGCCAGAAGTGGCTTAGTCCTGCTGGCCACATGACCCGGAAGCTGTAAACCGGCTCCCTCAGACAATAAAGTGAGATGAGCGCCGCAACCCCAGAGTCGGTCACGACTGGACCTAATGGTCAGGGGTCCCTTTACCTTTAAGGAAAAGCGGGACATTCTGCGATCAAATCAGAAATCGGGACGGCTTCTGTAAATCTGGGGCTGTCACTGGAAAACAGGGTTGCTTATAATAGATAGAACAGACAGAGGCTTTTAAGTAGAGGTTTTAGCAATTCCTGCAATGCATGGGGTTAACTAACCCAAATACCTGCAGAAAGCAGGACATGCGCACAAGAGCAGCCTCCCTTCTCACAGTTTCAGTATTAAAAGCTTTTTCAAAGCAACTTATAACTGCAGAAATAAGCTGGGTCCTAAAAAATATGCACAAAACCACCAGGAGCTTCTATGTGCAGAAAACATTCTAATAAATGCAGAAAGACAACAAAAAAGTGGGTTGGGGACTTTTTACACATCTGCACCTGGGAATAACACCCTTGAGACTTTTCTTCTGCTGTCTGAAACATTTGCTTAAGCAGTAAACCTCCACCAGTCTCTCACAAACTTATTTTTCGCGCTGGTACCTCAGTTTTCGAACAGCTTAGAGCTTGAACGGCTTGGAGCCTTGCCTGCAAGCAGGAGTGGAGGCGGGGATCTCTCAGAAGTGGAGCTGGCTGGGAGGCGGGGGCAGGGGCGACATCCCTTGCCAGGGCACTAGGGCTGCAGGTTTTGGATGCACACATGCCATATGTTTGCCACCACTTGGCTAGGTGACCCTCAGGTTCCCTGCCAACCTGACAATTCTATGATTCTCTACGAAACTTGCCCTGTCCATTCTTCTGGCCTAGATTGGGTTGATGCTTCCCCCTAGTGGCTGCACCAGTAGCAAGCAGGCAAAGTTAATTTGTGCTGGTGATTCTATACAGTGGCACCTCGGGTTACATACGCTTCAGGTTACAGACTCCGCTAACCCAGAAATAGTACCTTGGGTTAAGAACTTTGCTTCAGGATGAGAGCAGAAAGCGTGCGGTGACAGCGGGAGGCCCCATTAGCTAAAGTGGTACCTCAGGTTAAGAACAGTTTCTGGTTAAGAACGGACCTCCAGAACGAATTAAGTTCTTAACCCGAGGTACCACTGTACAGCTTTGGGACCAGGATACCTAAGATAAGGCTGCCATACATTCAGAGTTTCCTGGACGTAGCCAGGATTTGCTCTGTGGAAAATGGCATTCAGGCGGAATTTTTGGAAACCGACTAAAATGCCTGAGAAAACCCAGGCATGTGGCAGTCCATATTGGAAGTGTTGATTTTCCTAAATAAATTGGTGGAAACTTCATTCTGGGGGGAGATTCTGAAAAAAAAAAAATTGCAACAATTTTGCCCTCCCCACCCCCCAAGAAAAGCTCAAAAAAAACAAAAACAAAGCTCAACGGATTTTCACTTTTGGGGAATTTATCTCCTTATGTTGTATCTTCCTGCACTCCTGCATCTATCATCTTATCAGGAGATCCGTTCCATACAATTTAGGAACAGGTCTTGTGTGGCACTCAGCTTTTAGAATACCTTCCTGAAATATATTAATACAGTTTTATTATAGTTGTATTTTATAATATATATGTATCATAATTCTGTGCCATCCCGTCCCCCTCCGTGCCTATATTTTGGTCACTGTCTAGGGTACCAGAAAGGTGGCTTATAGATTTTTAAATTGAAAAGTGAAATCAAGAACTGTAATCCCTTTGAATCTTCCTTCCTGGAGCTATATGCACTTAACCTTGATTGGCCTCAGGGCAGGAGAGTCAATCGGTTCAGATTTGCCTATGATTGTGCATATCACCTGAATTGGAAATGTATTTCCAGACCAAGCCTTATGAGGAACAGTTGAGGGAGTTGGATATGTTTAGCCTGGAGAAGAGGAGACTGAGAGGAGATTGGATGTTGTTGTTTAGTCGTTCAGTCGTGTCCGACTCTTCATGACCCCCTGGACCAGAGCACGCCAGGCACTCCTGTCTTCCACTGCCTCCCGCAGTTTGGTCAGGCTCATGTTCGTAGCTTCGAGAACACTGTCCCACCATCTCGTCCTCTGTTGTCCCCTTCTCCTTGTGCCCTCCATCTTTCCCAACATCAGGGTCTTTTCCAGGGAGTCTTCTCTTCTCAGGAGGTGGCCAAAGTCTTGGAGCCTCAGCTTCAGGATCTGTCCTTCCAGTGAGCACTCAGGGCTGATATCCTTCAGAATGGAGAGGTTTGATCTTCTTGCAGTCCATGGGACTCTCAAGAGTCTCCTCCAGCACCATAATTCAAAAGCATCAATTCTTCAGCGATCAGCCTTCTTTATGGTCCAGCTCTCACTTCCATACATCACTACTGGGAAAACCATAGCTTTAACTATACGGACCCTTGTTGGCAAGGTGATGTCTCTGCTTTTTAAGATGCTGCCTAAGATTCTGCATATCACCTGAATTGGAAATGCATTTCCAGACCAACCCTTATGAGGAACAGTTGAGGGAGTTGGGTATGTTTAGCCTGGAGAAGAGGAGACTGAGAGGAGATTGGATAGCCATCTTCAAATATCTCAGGGGCTGTCCCATGGAAGAGGGAACAAGCTTGTTTTCTCCATCTCTGGAGGGTAGGACTCAAACCAATGGCTTCAAATTACAATTACCTTGGTTCTCAAACACCTTGGTACTCAAACAACTCGGAAGCCAAACACTGCAAACCTGGAAGTAAGTGTTCTGGTTTGCAAACTTTTTTCAGAAGCCGAATGTGCTTTGTTTTGAGTGTTACGCTTCCGTTTTGAGTGTTATGCTGAGGTCTGCCTGTTTTTGCTATTTATTTTGCGTTTTTGTTTTTGCCACTCTTTTGTTTTTGTTTTTGTGACTGTGTGGAACCCAGTTCAGCTACTGACTGATGGACTGATTGATTGATTGTGTGACTGCAGTACAGTGGTACCTCGGGTTAAGAACTTAATTTGTTCTGGAGGTCCATTCTTAACCTGAAACTGTTCTTAACCTGAGGTACCACTTTAGCTAATGGGGCCTCCCGCTGCCGCCACACGATTTCTGTTCTCATCCTGAAGCAAAGTTCTTAACCCAAGGTACTATTTCTGGGTTAGCGGAGTCTGTAACCTGAAGTGTCTGTAACCTGAGGTCCCTCTGTACATTTTTTATGGATCAATGGTCTCATTAGATAGTAAAATTCATGTTAAATTGCTGTTTTAGGGGTTGTTTTTAAAAGCCAGGAATGGATTAATGCATTTTGCATTACCTCCTATGGGAAAGCGTGCCTTGGTTTTGGAACGCTTTGGTTTTGGAACGGACTTCCGGAACGGATTAAGTTTGAAAACCAAGGTACCACTGTACAAGAAAGGAGATTCCAATTTAACATCAGAAAAAGCTTTCTGACAGTAAGAGCTGTGTGACAGTGGAACGGTCTCCCTAAGGAGGTGGTGAACTCCTTGAAGGTTTTTAAGCAGAGGTTGGATCTGTCATGGATACTTTCGCTGTATTCCTGCATCGCAGGGGGTTCCTTGCAATGCCACAACTCTATGATTCTGCGAGACCAACTTTTGTTTCCTCTTTCTCTCCCCCTTTCCCTCTTGCTTCTGCAGATTTTTATGACGATTACTCCGAAGGCCGGGAATGCGTCAACTGTGGAGCGATGTCCACCCCGCTGTGGCGGAGAGACGGGACTGGCCATTACCTGTGCAATGCTTGCGGTCTCTACCACAAGATAAACGGCATTAACCGACCGCTGATCAAACCCCAGAGGAGGCTGGTAAGGAAACGCCTGCGCCAACCTAGGATGCTGACTCTGAACTCGGCCCAGAAGCGCGATCTCAGTTTCTGGCGGCCAATTAGAAATTCCCATTCCCTAGTTTATGATATTGCATCATTGCTTGTTATATTTTTGCATGTTCAGACCAGAAACCTCCCCCCTAAATAAATTCACACTTGTCTCAAATTTTGGTTTTTGGCAGAATTTAGGCCACAACTTTATTGATTACAGAAAGTGTCTGGTTGCATAGGCTCTGGTTCAACTAGCCCCCTGCACCATGGCAGGTAGTGCTGACCCAGGGTTCCAGCATAGGTCAGCCAAGGGTGAACACCTGGATAAGCAGAAAGCCCTGAGCGGGCTATCTCTGCCACCCAAATGTCCCCCTGGACTCAGGCACGGGCACAACCCCCTCTCAGGGGATGACCAAACCATCGAGTCCCTGGATTCTTTTAATGGAATACCCTTCACATGGGGATGGCGAGAGCGTTCTCCCATCCCTATCACCTGAACCAGAGCCTACCCGCAACCTTACAAGTTGTGACGATTTGCTATGCGGCAGGCGAAACCCAAATGGCAACAGCCAATCAGCTAAGTGGGGAAAAATCCTGCCGTGCCCCTGTCCCAACGACAGACGACATACGACGGCATAGCAAGGTCAAGCGCAAAGCCCTAAAAGTAGGGAGAGGTGGGCGGGTGTTCCAATGCACGTGCCGAAAGAGGAAGCTCTGGGTCACGTGCATGGGCATAAATAGGTCCCTTGAACCATTTGGACTGCGTCCCATTGGCCAGATTGCACCCAGCTACGAGGGACCTACCAATCGGGTGTTGTGGCTGACCAATCGTACCCACCCACAACACAGGGAGTCGGTTGTCCAGGTCTCACCACAATACGTGCCCTCTTTAAGGGAGGACCCGATTTAATACAAAGGTTCCCAACATGGACAGTAGCGCCCCCTAGTGGCGGTGGGATTACCTGGGAGGCTCTAAGATGCTTGAAGACAGTAAAAAGTAAAGTAAAAAAGAGAGTAGGCGGTTGCTGTAGATATAAATGACTATCAGACTCTGAACATCCCTGGATCAAGTTCATCAGTTTTGTTGAATTAATTAAACTAGTTTTCACTGGATTTTGGAGGAACATGCAATTGATGGTTACTGCGTTGTTTTATTGCCTTGTTAGTGGGTCGTGCAAACTGACATTCTGAATAACGCCTTTTGTAAGGGGTTGCAGGGACAGGAATAGGGTGGGCCCTGAAAACACATGTCTCAGATCTCCAAGGTCAGGGTAGAAGGGACCCTGAGGATCATCCAGTCCAACCCCCTGCAGTGCAGGAATAGGCAGCTGTCCCGTAAGGGGATCGAACCTGCAACCTTGGCGTTATCCGCACCATGCTCTAACCAACTGAGCTTTCCAGGTTGCATCTTCAGCATTCGCAAAAGCCGTGTAGCGAAGAAGCCAGAGGCACCTCTGTGGGGAGGGAATTCCACAACTTAGGGGCCGCTGCAGAGAAGGCCCTGTCCTAGGCCACTCCGGCTGAGCTTCTGAGGAAAAAGGAACGATCAAGGAGGCCCCCTCTGCTGATCTTAATATCTGAGGGGATCTGTAGGGAAGGAGCCGGTCTCTCAGATGCTTAGGGCCCGAGTCATTTCATGCTTTGAACCCAAACTGTGAGCACCTTTAACTGGGCCCAGAAACAAACCGGTAGCTGATGCAGCTGTTTTAGAACAGGGGTTGTGTGAGATCTAGAGGTGACCACAGCCAGGAACCCGACCTCTGCAGACTTTAGGTTTTCTTAAATAAGAATGGTTTGCCCAAGGCCACTGGTGAGTTAACAGCCATTTGTTCTTGCTTCCGACCCTTGTTCCCGCAGTCGGCTTCCCGTCGGATCGGGCTCTCATGTGCCAATTGCCATACCACTACGACCACGCTGTGGCGCCGGAATGCAGAAGGCGAGCCAGTCTGTAACGCCTGCGGTTTATACATGAAGCTCCACGGGGTAAGAGCAACGTGCCAAAGCAGAGCATTCATTTTGCAGTCTCTCTGGAGCATGGGATATGTAGTGTACGAAAATGCTCTCCCTGCTTGGCTTTTCCTGCGCATAGGGGAACTATTTTATTTTGTTCAGTCCTTCCATTTGTTTTGACTTAGGGCCCTTGTATTTACGGGACCGCCTCTCCTGGTCTGCCCCGCAGAGGACCTTAAGGTCCATGAATAATCATAGTTTAGAGGTCCCGGGCCCTAATGAAGTCAGATTATCCTTCACCAGGGCCAGGGCCTTCTCAGTAATGGCTCCGACCTGGTGGAATGCTCTGTCCCATGAGACCAGGGCCCTGGAGGAATTAACTTCCTTCTGCAGGGGCTGTAAGACAGAGCTATTCCGCCTGGCTTTCAATTTGAACTTAGCCTATCTTTTATTCCCCTTCCTTCCCTCCCCCTCCCCTTTGTATGAAGATTACCCGCTCTGGGATCCCACAGCTAATTCCCCCCTGTCTCCTCGCTGGCCCAAATAGGACTAATTTAGCCAGCTAGCCCTGGTGATCATCTAATGTTTATTGGATGGATTTTCCCCCTAAATTGATTTTTGAATTCTGAATTTATTGTTATTCATGTTTTATACTGCATTTTATGCTGTTTTTTGTTGCATCAATGAAGTGCTTTAAATTTGTTGTTAGCCGCCCTGAGCCCGGTTTTCAGAACCGGGAAGGGCGGGGTACAAATAAAAAAATATTTATTTATTTATTATTCTCACCCCTCCTCCGCGAGGTAAGAGTGACACACCAAAGAAGAACATACGTCTTGCAGTCTCTCTGGAACATGGAATATGTAGTGTACATGGCACCATGGAACTACTGCCCGTGCTTGGCTTTTCTCTGTGGTGTGACATGCATTGTGGAACTATTTGATTTCGTCCGGCCGTAAAATGAAAAGAAAACACTTATTCAATTAGTGCATAGTTTTAACTGTGGAACTCCCTGCCACAGGATGGTCACCAAGCTGGATGGCTTTGAAAGAGGATTAGACAAAATTCACAGAGGAGAGGGCTGTTGATGGCTACTAGACACGGTGACCATGGTCTGCAATTCACAGTTTGAAGCATCAATGCTTCGGAACCAGTTGCCTGGAAACCACAGGAGGAGAAAAGACTCTTGTGTTTAAATCCTGCTGGTGGGTTTCCCACGGGCATCCAGTTGGCCCCTGTGGGAAAAGGATGCTGGACTAGATGAGCCCTTGGTCGGATCCTGCAAGCACTTTTTACGTTCAGATGTTCTTAGCTTGTCTTCCTTGCGGTGAGATGAAAACCTGCTACGAAACAGTTCTGCCTCAGTTCCTGGCTTTGCAGCCCAGCTCCCGTTAGCCATGGACCGTGTAATATTGGGAGGGGTTGATGTTCCTGGGGTTTTGTGCATGTTCTAAAAGGCTGGTGTCTCCTTAGGTCCCGAGGCCTTTAGCAATGCGGAAGGAAGGAATCCAGACCAGGAAGCGGAAACCGAAGAATTTAAACAAATCCAAGGCGCCATCAGGTGACTGCAGGGTTGCTTGCTTTGCAAAATGTATATACCACCTCACAGCCCAAGTCAGAAACAATGAAACAATTTGTACAGATCACCGAACCATAGAATTTTAGTCCCAACTAAAGAAGAATGGCAATTTAAGCTGATGGAATATGCGCAACTTGCCGACTCAACATATAATAATATACTAATAATAATAGTTTATTATTTCTACCCCACCCATCTGATGATGATGATGATAATAATAAGAAGAAGAAGAATACCTTTATTGTCAATGTACAACCTGTGCACAATGAAATTAACAAAGCCACTCTGGGCGACTTCCAACAAAAGATTAAAAATACATTAAAACATCAGTCATTAAAAACTTCCCTAAACAGGGCTGCCTTCAGATGTCTTCTAAACGTCAACAAGAAGAACATACATTTAGAAAAGACTGGAAAATGTTTATTGAATATGAGGGGAAATTGTGTACACTTGAAAAAGGTTGGCAGCATTTAGAAAAATTCAACTGTGTAAATAAGTTTTGATGGATGTAATCATGGAATACTGAATGGTTTAGTTTATGTAAAATACACAGGGATCTATGGCATGCAAAATGAACCATGGAAAGACAAGAAGGGAAGTCATTGATATTTTAAGGTTGTTCGAATGAGTATTCTAAATTGTAAAACAAAAAATTCAAACCACCAACTTTCTGGTTAACAGCAAAACCCATTGCACCACACAATTGATTTTCCATTATTGATCCACAAACAAACATCACAACATTGCAATTTATGTAATTTCAGCTGATTCCAGAGGACTTGAGCAGCAGTGCTAAAAGCCCAAGGGAGAGCCACCAGATGCCCAGTTTGTTATCTTTGCAAAAAAAACGGAAGGCTCCCCACCCCCACCCCCCGGATGAAAAAATTGACCACAACAGAATCTGGCACAGTCTCAAGACAGACCTAGTTTAACGCATTGTTGTCTTCTCCCTTCTCTTCTGCCATGCCCAGGGTCTGCCAGCAGCGACAGCCTCCCCTCGTCCGTCAGCTCTGCCCCCTGCACCACCACGACAACAACCACAACTGCCATGGAAAAAATGCACCCCATCAAAATGGAACCGGGGATCTCCTCTCATTACGGGCACCAGGCGCCCATTCCACAGGTGAGGAAGGAAGGAACCGCCACAGGAGGAACGGGGCAAAAGGAAAAGATTGTGGGGCGATTATAGAATCGTAGAACTGTAGAATGAGAGGGGACCCTGCGGGTCATTCTCTCAATGCAGGAATCACACCTAAAGAGTCCCTGATGGATGGCTACCCACAGGGCTGGATTTAGCTTTGATGTGGCCCTCAGCTACTGAAGGTAATGGGGCCCTTTGTATGTCCAGCTGTCCTTTGTCAAGAACAAATTGCAGCCAATTTTTGTGTTGAATATGTGCTATGTGGTAATTTATGGACTTAATAGGTATCTCAAGCCATTTGCACATGCAGAATGTAGGTAAAGGTAAAGGGACCCCTGACCATTAGGTCCAGTCGTGACCGACTCTGGGTTTGCGGTGCTCATCTCGCTTTACTGGCCGAGGGAGCTGGCGTACAGCTTCCGGGTCATGTGGCCAGCATGACTAAGCTGCTTCTGGCGAACCAGAGCAGCGCACGGAAACACCATTTACCTTCCCGCCAGAGCGGTACCTATTTATCTACTTGCACTTTGACGTGCTTTCAAACTGCTAGGTTAGCAGGAGCTGGGACCAAGCAATGGGAGCTCACCCCGTCGTGGGGATTCGAACCACCGACCTTCCGATCGGCAAGCTCTAGGCTCTGTGGTTTAGACCACAGCGCCACTCGCATCCCTTGCACTAGGGTATAATTCATCTCTATTAAGCATATTATTGTGTATAATTGCGAGTTGCTGCTGTTAATTACTTCCTTCCCCTGCACTTCTGTTGATAATCTGTTTTTCTCTCTCTTTCTCCATTCCACCTCCACACACCCCCAAAATCAGGCATTCTCAGTCGCTGCCATGTCTGGACATGGACCTGCTCTTCACTCTCCCATGCCAAGCCTCAAACTTTCTCCACAGAGCTACCCGGTATCTATGAGCCAGTCTCCGCAGCCCAGCTCCAAGCAAGACTCCTGGAACAGTCTGGTCCTGGGTGAAAGCCACGGAGACATTATCACGGCATAACTGTATCTGCGCCGCAGCTTCAGGCTCGGGATACAAAGGCGTCTTTCCACCATCAGACAACACCGGGGTGCTTTCTTCATTTCCTTTGCTTGCTTTCTCTGACCACTTTCCTGAGGGCTGTAGATCCCGATCCGAGGGCTGGGTGCACGCCGTTCCTTGAAAGCCTCTCCGAGGCGCATTCTTTCTCGCAAAGGATTCTGGGTACTGTGGCTCACCCCTCACAGAGTCTGGATTCCCAGCAACCTTTGGCAAACTACCATGCCCAGAATTCTTTGAGGGGAACGAATATGCTTCGGAGGCGATTGAAGTGTACACAACCGTTCCAGATCGTGCCGTCGAAAGGTTTTGTTTGGGGTTCTTGCTTTGAAAAAGACTTCCACGCTTGGAACGAACGAGGTCTTCAGTCGCTTCAGAGCCTCGAATGACAACTGCCTTCAGAAAAGCTGACAGAAACTCCAATTAAAAGTATGCATACACATGGACAAATCTGGCCCTTCAGTCTTTGACAGCACCCTTGTTGGCTTTTGCTATCTATTAAATTCCCCGCTCTGGCCTGGCAGGAGGAGAGAAGATTCTCTTGCACTGGCATTCCATAGAACCAGAGAATTTTAGAGTTGAGACCCCAGAGCTTTATCTAGTCCAACCCCTTGCAATGCAGGAATGATGATCATTTCCAAGATCTTCCTGGGGCAGGCATTGGCTTTGTGAATGTGTTTTCCAGACATCTGATCCTCATTGAAATACCCAAGATCAGATACCTGCAAGATTATGTGTCTGAGCTGTCAACAGATCTATCCCCTCCAACGGATCTTTCACCTTGCCCAATGTCTCTGGAAAGGCAACCAGCTTAATGATCGAATCCTGAAAAAGCAAAGCAATGGACATGAATTGTGCAAAGGCGGGAGGAGAAGAGAGAACATGTGGACCAAACAATACCCCAATACTTACGAGTGATGGGGGGGGACGGTCAGCGGCTGGCGGCCCCCATGCACAAATCTGGCTCCTCTCAGTGGTGATATTTGCCTACTCGGTTGCAAGCAGTTGATTCTTTGAAACGAGGGGTGAGCAGACTCACGGGGCACTAGTTGGGGCGTTATCCCTTCATGTCCCCCGTTCGATTGTCAAAATGTCCCCACCCACAACGCAAAAGAGCACTTGTTGCTGGGCAGGACTCTTGAGTTACCGTCGCCGACGACTGCAACGCCGAATGAATACTTAAGATTTATTTTGGGTTTTCTCCTTCCCTGAATGTAGGACTGCAATCCCATAATAAGCCAGGATGGAAAAGGAGATGCATTGTACAGCAAATGCCACAGAAAAACACTAAGTGGGAGACTTCAGGGTCTGGAAAAAGACACAAGACCTGGGACAGAATTGTCGGGTTCTGGATACCACGGCTAGTGACTGTTGCAAGAGGAATCTCGTGCATCCAGCAGTTTTGCAACTGCCTGCACTGTGCCAGTGTTAATTTAATTGCTTTTCTGACATCTTGATTATGCCTCCTCCTCTTCTTCCTCTCCCCACCCATTGCTATCAATAAATCTTTATTATTATTATTATTATTTTCAAAGCAGCTGTTCCCACCAGGAATGGATCCGAAAGAGGGATTTCTATCGCCCTTAGGAACACAGGACCTGAGTCAGACCGCCGCTCCATCTATCTCAGTACTGTTGACACGGACTGGCAGCAGCTCTCCAGGATCTGCAGACTGGGGTCTCGACCAGCCCTATCTGGAGTTGCTGGGGATTCATAGAATCATAGAATCTTAAGAGTTGGAAGGGACCCAAGGTTAATCTAGTCCAACCCCCTGCAATGCAGGAATCTCAGCTAAAGCATCCATGACAGATGGCCATCCAACCTCTGCTTAAAAATCTCCAAAGAAGGAGAGCCCACCACCTCTGGTGGGAGTCTGTTCTACTCCCAAACAGCTCTGACTGCCAGAAAGGTTTTTCCGAATGTTTAGTCGGAATCTCCTTTCTTCTAACTTGAAGCCATTGGCTTGAGTCCTACCCTCCAGAGCAGGAGAAAACAAGCTTGTTCCCTCTTCCGTGTGACAGCTCTTTAAATATTTGAAGGTGGCTCTCATATCTCAGTCTCCTCTTCTCCAGGCTAAACATACCCAGCTCCTTCGACCGTTCCTCATAAGGCATAGTTTCCAGACCCTTGATCATCTTGGCCGCTCTCCTCTGCACACGTTCCAGCTTGTCAACATCCTTCTTAAATTGCGGAGCCCAGAATTGGATGCAGTATTCCAGATGTGGTCTGACCAAGGCAGAATAGAGTGGTACTATGATTTCCCTTGATCTGGACACTAGACTTTGAACCTTGATTGAACCTTGGCCCTTCTGCATGCAAGGCAAATGCTCTCTCCTTGCGCTATGGCCTCTCCAAATTAAATTCTCTTTCATTCTCACACAAAACGCTCTTGCTTTTTTTGAAAGGAAGAGGTGAAATGTAGGTCACAGGTGGCGCAGTCCTTAAACAGCAGCTCGCTTGATCGGTGATCAGCTTTGTTTGGACACGACGATTACCATCATTTAACCAACGCTAATCCTGGCATGTTTAAAAACAATATTGCAAAGCTGCTGTTTAAGGCTGGCATTCCCACTCCTGCAAACATCAAGGAGCTATAAAGCGCTTGAGCCGATTTAAACAAAAGCAAACCCAGCCTTGCCTATCTGAAAGCAAACAGAATGGCTTTATTAAGCTTAGTCCTCAAAGCTTTTCGGTGCATTTTACACTTGACCTCGTTCGATTTGGCCCTACTTTGCAAATCTTACAGGCTCCAGACTATAATCAATTGATGGAGAAGATGGTTCAGCTCAGTCTTTAGATTAAAGTGGTTCAGTCATAGAGGGCACATTTTGCATACAGAAGAAGCCAGATTTTATCCCCAGCATGGCTAGTTAACTGAATCAGATGGCAAGGGATAGAGAAGATTTGAGAGTCCCTGGATCAACGTCTTTGGACTACAACTCCCATCAGCCACTGGAGCGCACCACCTTGGCAAACACTGCCCTAGAGAGCTGCTGCCCATCAGACAAAACTAATCTAGGTGGACACAAACACCTTTCCAGTTATAGTCTTCAGTTCTGCCTCGAAGAGAACTTTTGTCTGGCTCCACAGTTTGGACGTTGTAACTGAGGCCACAAACCTTGTGTGACTTGCCCAGCCGAACCCTGGCTGGTGTTCTTCCTCAGTGGCACTCCTGTCAATCTGAAGGCAGCGTTTGGTTAGCCAGGCACAAGTTGGATCTGTTTGTGCCCAGCGCTGTAACAACAAGATGGTGGCAAAGGACTTTCCTGCAGGAACGTTTTTAGAAGGCAGACCTATCCTTTTTGCCTAAGGTCCAAGCATTTAATAAAGGGCCCACTTACATTTTCTCCAATATTTCAGGTGCTAGGGAGTCCCAAGGCCTGATCCCCTTCTGCCACCAAATGAACATTAATTAAAACACATTGCAGCTTTTGTAAAATCTCTGCCAAACGCAGCTCATTCCCCTTCCCTTCTCGGTAGTGGCGCCTTCTCGGTAGTGGCGCCCACCCTGTGGAACGCCCTTCCAGCCGATGTCAAAGCGATAAACAACTACCTGACATTCAGAAGACATCTTAAGGCAGCCCTGTTCAGGGAAGTTTTTAATGTATGATATTTTAGTGTTTTTTGGTTTCTATGGAAGCCGCCCAGAGTGGCTGGGGAAACCCAGCCAGATGGGCGGGGTACAAATAAATTATTATTATTATTATTCCCTGAAAGAAACAGTAGTTTTTCAGCCATGTTTGTGTGGCTGGTAGACATTTGTGAGGAGCATTAAGCTTTTACGTTGCTGAGGGCTGTTGGTCCTTCCCTCTAACGTGAAAAAATAGCCTTTGCAGCCTCTGTGGCTGTCACACTTGCAAGGAAGAACTCATGGTGTAACTTCTTCCCCGCTAAACATTCCAGGAACTGTAGCAGCTGGGGAGGCTGCAAATTATTTACATGCGCAAGCACCTTGTAACAAAAATGGGAAGACCAACCTTCAAACCTCTACACCTCAACCCAAATGTCCAGCAGAACATTGGCTGTCATTTTTGGAATGGAATTAAGACTTCTAAACCTGTCGGTATGTTGTCTTTCAGTTAAAAGAAAAGAATAAAAGATAGATACAGTAAACTGAAAGGAGCATTCCCTGGATGCCTAGCTCCAGGTTTGGGGCAAGTACTCTTTGGTGAGAGAGCCCCAGCAGAAATTTAAAATCACAAAAGTATGCAGCAAAGTCAAGCATGGAAACAGAGGCTTTAAAATATCCGCTTCTAAGTTGCTTCCAAAGTCCCCCAATTCCCTTAGCATAGAAAGAGACCATACATTTGGCAAGTCAAAAAATGGTTACTTACAAACTCTTCAAAGGTCAGATTCATGTGCTTTTCCATGCAGCAGTCAGAAAACACGGGCAGTCACACTTAAGATTAGTTCCAAAGTGGTGAAAGATCCAAAATTAATTGTATAGAAATACAAAGATGGCTTGCTTAAGCGACGTGGTCTCCTTGCCGGAAGGGTTCACATGATACAAGTGTGGTGGAAAGTGGGAGAACCAAGAGTTTGATAGCCCTCCCTTTGAATGTGAGCAGAGGTGACCTTGTCAAACCTTGCAGGACAGCATACACTATGGTCTTAATCCTTCCATGCATTAATTCGAGTTGAGTGCGTTGGTTACAAAACCCAGGGGACAGTGCCAGGGTTTGGCTGCATTTTCATTTTGAAAAATCATCTTTTGCATCATTCAGATGTTTCTCTAAGGGAGCCTCCGTTTGTACATATGTGGAGCATGCCGAGATCTGCAGAGACGGAACTCGCACGCGCATTTCATCCCACAGGGCTGTTTTTTCCCTTTTCTTTTTAATATAGAACGTTACTCAAAACGTGTGCCCTAAAATTCAGCTGCGCTGAAAATATATCCCGTGTTCCAGCTCCAGCCATTTCCGGAGGCTTATTATGGGGTGCAGGAATTGCCCTTGCTCTGACAGCTGGTCTGGGGAGAGGGGTGGCTCCTCCTCCTGGAGAGGAGGCAAAAGACAGGCAGGGACCTGATCCATCACCAGAGGGAGGTGCCATCCATCAGTTTGCAGGGGGAAAGAAATTGCTTTCTGAAATTGTGAAAGGGGTAGAAAATCTTGGGTGAAATTCTCGTGGCTTTTTGCTGTGCGTACCTTACTCTCGGGACGTGGGTGGCGCTGTGGGTTAAACCACAGAGCCTAGGACTTGCCAATCAGAAGGTCGGCGGTTCGAATCCCTGCGACGGGGTGAGCTCCCGTTGCTCGGTCCCTGCTCCTGCCAACCTAGCAGTTCGAAAGCACGTCAAAGTGCAAGTAGATAAATAGGTACCACTCCAGCGGTAAGGAAACAGCGTTTCTGTGCGATGCTCTGATTTGCCAGAAGCGGCTTAGTCATGCTGGTCACATGACCCGGAAGCTGTACGCTGGCTCCCTCAGCCAATAAAGCGAGATGAGCGCAGCAACCCCAGAGTCGGCCAGGACTGGACCTAATGGTCAGGGGTCCCTTTACCTTTTTTACCTTACTCTCAGGGTGACTGGGGGGTTTGTGGGCAGTTTCTTTCCTTCTGCAAAAGAATGTGTTGCACTCTTCAGCCTTGCTGTTTGCCTGTGTTTCCCCAAACCTCACGACATTCTCAACTTGGCTTTCCCAGTTGCACGAGAAGGTCAGGTACTCTCTATTCTGCAACTGCTCTTTTTTTGGGGGGGGTGCATGAAATTTTATTAACTTTTAAACAAATCCATGTGGATCTTTTTTTAAAAAAAAAAAAGATAAAGGAAGGGGAAGACTTCCCTCAAAAACAAAATCAGCAGGCACCCTGATCTCCAGCAACTTGATAGCTGGCTTCCCCAGTTTTCGATGCTTCAATTAATGCCCAGGGTTAGATGTCATAAGTAAGACATTGCAGGGGGTTGGTCTAGATGACCCTTCGGGTCCCTTCCAACTCTACAATTCTATGAATCTGTGACTTTTCCCATGGGGCTTTTCTTAAAGATAAATAAATCCGGAAGCTCAGGTAACCAGGTAGGCTGCAGAACGCTGGAGAAATGTCGAAAGGGGAAGTGACCCTCCCCGTTGTTTTCATCACTCTCTGCCAAGAAATGCTACACCTGTTGAATTTCCATGTATTTTGTTTTACAAAAGAAAGTGACAGCCAAATTTCAATGTGTTCTAGGTGACCCATGCTGGAGCTTTGCAGAGGATTCAAACCTGTGCCTTTCCCATGCCAGGCTGCAGGAGGGAGGTCGTACTACACAAGACTTCCACCATGCTGTAAATAAATAAGTTAACAGACACCCCCTGCAGTTAGAAAACTAGCTTATCAGGGAGAGGGCTGGAGGGGAATGTTTCTCCCTGACTTGCCAGTTTTCTACGTGCAGGGAGTTTGAAGCATTTGAATATGTGAGCCCCACCTGCAGGTGGAAGTGCTGGAGTCCAGAAACAGGTTGACCACCTCCAAGTCGAACTACTTTGAACTACAAGTTGAACTTCTTTGAACGTAGTTCGCCCTAGTTGGCAGCCCTGGATGGTTAGGCTAGGGCAAATGACCAGCATCTTTGGGCCTATAAACTGGTTTGTAACCTTAAGTGACGTTCATACCATTTCTTTAATAATAATAATAAAAACAATCCATGTATTTTTAGCGTGATAAGAGTCTGTGGAAAGGTGCTGTTCCAAGAAGATGCTTGCTTGAATGGTCGATGGCGAGGCAGGAGCCCGAACAAGTTTAAGATTATTTAAAGTTATAATATATACGTGTGAATATCTCTCTCTGTATTATGATGCAATATGACTACCGATCTGCATACTGACTTCACCTGTTAGAATGAACGGAAATAAATGGACAGGCATTCATTTCCAAATCGAGAACGTCTTTCTTCTTTGTCCTTTCGCTTCTCAAAATCTCTTCGCTGCAGCGATGAGGTGAGGATGCCAAAAATCCGGAGTTCTGCACATGCACACGCACACTAGAAAGCAACATTAGAAAGCAACAAAACTCCATAGTACGTACTGCAACTGCGAGCACATTTGCAATGCTAAGCAGGATCTGATATGGTTTCAAACATTTTGCAGTTTGAAAACTCAAGTTTTGCACCAAGAGAAACTGAACTCAGAAGTTCAGCATAGGTATATCATTTATGTTGTTTTGCATGATTCATATCATCATCATCATCATTTTTAATTTGTATACCGCCTTTCTATCTTACAATACTCAAGGCGGTTTACAAGCTGAAGAAACAAAAAATGTACATCTTATAACAATCTAATGCAATACAAAAATGTGATAATAAAACATAACTTTAAAACGGGCAACCTCCATCAAAAAAGGAACATCCAACAATCATTAGAATAGTATAAAATAATATCAACATACAAAAGTTAAACAGAAATCCACTCAACAGTTACAATAATATCTAAACTATAATCAGTAAAACAACGGCAAACCACAGTACATAAAACAGTACAATACATATTGAGAAGCAGAGAGTGGAGCAAGGCAGGTGGAAGAAGGCCTTGCCTGATGGAGTCTCTCCACACACACACACACACACACACACCCCTTATTTAATTTCTTGCATTTACAACCCACCTCTCAGTCAGTGAGCTCAAGGTAGCATACTATGTAATAATAATAATAATAATAATAATAATAATAATAATAATAATAATAATTTATTTATACCCCGCCCATCTGGCTGGTCTTTCCCAGCCACTCTGGGCAGCTTCCAACAAAATATTTAAATACAATAATGCATCAAACATTAAAAGCTTCCCTAAACAGGGCTGCCTTCAGATGTCTTCTAAAAGTCTGGTAGTTGTTCTTCTCTTTGACATCTGTATGGTTTTCCACCCCCCATTTTATCCTCATAACAACCCAGTGAGGTTAGGCTGAGCAACAGCGAGTGGCCTAAGATCACCCAGTGAGCTTCCATGGCTGAGTGAGGATTTAACCTGTATCTCCCAGGTCTTAACTACTATGCCACGTTCGCTCCCATCATACAATTCATTCTGGCTATTTTGCACGATCTCATTCATGAAAAGTGGTCGGATTAGCTCAGGGGCCGGATTCCCTCCTGGAAACTAACCAGGGGCCGTAGGACAGTGGTGGGCGGGGCCTAGATGCAAAAGTGGGCGGGGCAACATCTTTGACTTGACTTTGCGCAATAGGCTACATTCCAGCTGGTCACAACAGAATTTGAGGAGGGAATGGCCAAGCCCAATGAGGGCTGTGGCATGGGAAGGGTGTATAGCTAGGGGAGCATCCTGAGGGCCAGATAGGAGGGAGACGGGGGCCACATTTGGCCACCAGGTCTGAGGTTCCCCCATTCCTGTTTTAGAAATGAACCAGGAATGCAGAAGGTGAGCTTGTGGAGATCAGGTGAGCCGGAGGGGACATGAATCGAAGATTCTCCAAGGGACAAAGTTTTATGGTCTGGGCAAAGCTTCCAGAACAGGAGGATGTAAAGGGGAGGAAGGCAGGCGATAGGGGTGGGCAGTTTTGGTTGTTTTGCACTCTGCACATGTTCAGAAAACCCTCTCTCATCACATTCCCTTAAAAGTTATTTTCCTTTTTAAAAAAAGCAATTTCCACATGCTCAGAATCCCTTGGGTATTTTTAAAAGCACCTTTCTCCCACGCGGGGCGGGGGGAACGCTCTGTGCGTGCTCAGAGGCACAAAGCCCAAAGTGCAAAAGTGTTGTTGTTTAGTCATTTAGTCGTGTCCACCTCTTCGTGACCCCATGGACCACGGCACGCCAGGCACTCCTGTCTTCCACTGCCTCCCGCAGTTTGGTCAAACTCATGCTGGTAGCTTCGAGAACACTGCCCAATCATCTCGTCCTCTGTCGTCCCCTTCTCCTTGTGCCCTCCATCTTTCCCAACATCAGGGTCTTTTCCAGGGAGCCTTCTCTTCTCATGAGGTGGCCAAAGTATTGGAGTCTCAGCTTTAGGATCTGTCCTTCCAGGGAGCACTCGGGGCTGATTTCCTTCAGAATGGAGAGGTTTGATCTTCTTGCAGTCCATGGGACTCTCAAGAGTCCCCTCCAGCACCAGAATGCAAAAGCATCAATTCTTCAGCGATCAGCCTTCTTTATGGTCCAGCTCTCACTTCCATACATCATCACTGGGAAAACCATAGCTTTAACTATACGGACCTTTGTCGGCAAGGTAAGTGCTAAAGTGGTTTTTCTAAAAAAACCAAGAGGACAACAACCCTGAAGGAACTTGTCCTGACCTCTAAGTGGCATTTTGGGAGAAATCATCTGCTCAGAGACAGCTACAAGGACAGCTACAAGGAAACAGGAGAGTTTAAAAGAGGTGGGGCGGGGACGGCAGGGCGCTCTGACATCGATTGCTTCCGAGACGCGCAGTTCGGTGCTCTGCTGAGTGGGTCTGCCGGAGCAGCTGCTTTGAGAAAGTGCGAGAGGAGTTTCGCATCCCTGGAAAGGTATCGAGTCCGGATTCCTCCCCACAAAAATGCCATGGTCAGAGCGCAGAAGCCTAAAAAAAGAGAGAGAGCCAGAAAGAAACCAGGTTGGCTAAGCACGCGGAGCGTTCACACGTTCATTTGCTTCCCGCTTATGCAGGTGGCGACTCTGACACGCGGGGTGCACGTGTGCACGGCTTCCTTCAGCAAAGCATTGTGTTCGCGGGGGGTGGGGGTTGCTTACTGACGTCTGCAGTCGTGGAGGGGTGTGAACACGTACACGTGTTGGACGTGGAAGCTTTACAGACGTACTATCCATGCCAGAGCTTGATTACGAAATCGGAGGAGATGATAGGATCATAGAATTGTAGTGTTAGAAGGGACATTGAGGATCATTTATAGTCCAGCCTCCTGCAATACAGGAATATGTCAGCCGCACGAGCTTCACTGCTTAATTGTTTTTTTAAAAAAACACAACAACAAAAGTGTAGGCGCCAAAAGGTAGATTTCTTGCAAATGTGGAACAGGTTGCACCTGTCAGAGGGTCAGTTCCTGCAGCCGAAGATGCTTAGAAAGCAGGACCCAGGCCAGAATGAGCAGCCTTACAGAACGTACTTTAATGTGTTGGGCAGCAGACAGAAGGCCAAGCACATCTGCAGTGTTGCCATTTCTGCCTCACCAGCTGCCCACACTAAGCCTCTGAAGAGGCACCCATCTACCACCTTGCTAGGGTCCTTGTTCCGTCCTGAGGAGAGTGTGTGACGTGATACAGCTTTCATAACTGCCTATAACTAAGCATAGAAGTGTAGTAATCGTACCGCTCTATTCTGCCTTGGTCAGACCACACCTGGAATACTGTGTCCAGTTCTGGGCACCACAATTTAAGAAGGGTGTTGACAAGCTGGAATGTGTGCAGAGGAGGGCAACCAAGATGATCAAGGGTCTAGAAGCCAAGACTTATGAGGAATGGTTGAAGGAGCTGGGTATGTTTAGCCTGGAAAAGAGGAGACTGAGAGGAGATATGATTTTTGTTTTTTTTAGTCATTTAGTCGTGTCCGACTCTTCATGGCCCCATGGACCAGAGCACGCCAGGCACTCCTGTCTTCCACTGTCTCCCGCAGTTTGGTCAAACTCATGTTAGTAACTTCGAGAACACTGTCCAGCCATCTCATCCTCTGTCATCCCCTTCTCCTTGTGCCCTCCATCTTTCCCAACATCAGGGTCTTTTCCAGGGAGTCTTCTCTTCTCATGAGGTGGCCAAAGTATTGGAGTCTCAGTTTCAGGATCTGTCCTTCCAGTGAGCACTCAGGGCTGATTTCCTTCAGAATGGATAGGTTTGATCTTCTTGCAGTCCATGGGACTCTCAAGAGTCTCCTCCAGCACCAGAATTCAAAAGCATCAATTCTTCGGCAGTCTTCTTTATGGTCCAGCTCTCACTTGCATATAATAGCTATCTTCAAATGTGTAAACCAGGGGTCAGCAACCTTTTCCAGCCGTGGGCCGGTCCACCGGCCCTCAGACCATGTGGTGGACCGGACTATATTTTTGGGGGGGAAATTAACAAATTCCTGTGCCCCACAAATAAACCAGAGATGATTTTAAATAAAAGCACACATTCTACTCATGTAAAAACATGCTGATTCCCAGACCCTCCGTGGGCCGGATTGAGAAGGTGATTGGGCCGCATTTGGCCCCTGGGCCTTAGGTTGCATACGCCTGATCTAAACGGCTTTCACATGGAGGATGGATCAAGTTTCCTTTCTCCTGCTCTGGAGGGTAGGACCCGAACCAATGGATTCAAGTTACAAGAAGAGATATTCCGACTAAACTTCAGGAAGAACTTTCTGAGGGGAAGTGGAACGGTCTCCCTTGGGAGGTTGTGGACTCTCCTTCCTTGCAAGTTTTTAAGCAGTGGTTGGATGGCCATCTGTCATGGACGCTTTAGCTGAGATTCCTACATTGCGGGGGTTGGACTAGATGACCCTTGGTCCCCTTCCAATTGAAATGTAAAGATAAAGAAGGTACCTTTTACCATATGTGGTGGACGTGTCCTAAGGTGAAAGACTTCTGGGGAAAGATTTATAATGAATTTTTAAAAATGTTGAAATATACATTTATTAAGAAACCAGAAGCCTTTCTACTGGGAATAATAGGATTGGAACTGCCCAAAAAGGATATTAGATTGTTTTTGTATGCCACCACTGCAGCAATAATTTTATTAGCCAAAAATTGGAAATCGCAAGAAATACCAACAATAGAAGAATGGCAGATGAAGATGTTGGACTTTTTGGAGCTGGCCGACCTGACTGGAAGAATCCCCAATCAGAAAGAAGAGGAACACCAAGAACAATGGAAGAAGTTTAAAGACTATTTAATTAAATATTGTAATATAAGACAACTAGAAGCTACTTGAATTTATCAGTTTGGTTCAGGAATAGAATATGATTAAAGTGTAAAACATTATGGGAGAAATTATGAAAAGAAGCTAAGAAAGTAATTTGAAAAAGTAAATTTTGTCAGAAAGAAGAGATTGGAAAACTGCTACAAGGGGAAACAACGGAACTCAGTTAGGGGGGATTTGAGGAAGTCAATTAACAATCAAAAGCAAATTGGATTTTAGAAGGATTGGGTTTATTGAGGAGATTTCACCCCTCCCATATCCAAGAATCTCCTGAGGAGTCTGCTGATTCTCCAGAGAGGAGGAGGCGTGTTCTGCTCTCTACTTACTCTGCTCCAGCACCAAGTCAGTCAGTGTCGGGCAGAGAGAGAGAGAGAGAGAGAGACTGAGTGTTAGAGATCGTGTGTAGAGATAAGGTTGCTGCTAAGAGCAGCTGCAGACACTCAGTGCAGCATTCATTTATGCTTAGACCTATTAAGCTCTGTATATAGTTTGTATAGTTGTAGATAGAATAAAGAAGATATTCTACAGAGCTGCTCTCCGAGTTGTTTATATACTCTGCTAGACTCTGCTAGACTCTGCTGTGCGACGACTGTCTTCTTGTAGAAGTGAATCCAGTGCTCACAGCTCTAAGCTGTGAGTCCACAGCACTTTGACCTGTTCCTGTGCAGAAGGTGGTCTCTGGAAGTGCTACCCAGCTCGCCTAGCCCAGTTGGGCTGAAGTGGATGAGTCCAGTTGGTGGCACTGGCTCAAGGGCGATGCTGACATTTATTTGTATGTCCTTTTTATCATTTTTCTTTTCCTTTTCTTTCTTTTTTCTTTTTTGTGTGTTATATTTGTTATAAACCTGGAAAATTAATTAAAAAATGGGGGGGGGGGGAGAGAGCTGTGTGTTTGAGTGCTTAACTTGGCCCCTTTCAGCCTCCCCAAATTTCTCCCTCTCCTGCAGCGATGCCCGAGGGCCCGACTGTGAAGAGGTTCCAGCTTCACTGCTCCTCATTTGTGGGGCAGGGTGTGACCAAAGTAGGGGGAAGCACAAAGCAGATGAACCCGGATGATCTGAAGGGGCTGATGCTGCAAGACACTCAGGTGAGTCTCGCACCCATTTGGCTCCCCCAAATACTTTGTGTATTTTTCCCTCGTCTCTGCTGCAATTCATTTGAATTTTTACAGCATTCATTTTTTTTTTAAAATAATTTTTATTAAAGTTTCAATCAAAAATTAAACAACAAACAAAAACAAAAAAAAAAACATAAAAAAATACACAAATACACAATACAAATCCCAGAAAGAAAATAAAAAAAACACGAAGAGCAAGAATCAACAATTAAAAAAAACACATAACAATTAAAAACAATATCTCTTTTCCATTTCCGTTTTTGAATTTACTTATTTTCTGGACTTCCTCATACCTCCCTCTTTTGTATTCCAATCCAAATTGTTTGTCCAGCAATTTCTTTTCCACTTTTTTAATCCCAATCTTTAATTTTAATATAATATATAACTTCAACTTCTTTAAACCTAATCTTTGATCTTAATGTAATATAACATTGAAATTTTACCTCTTAATTGTCAAGTTTCCATTTCCTTAAACATCTTTAAACCTAATCTTTAATCTTAGACTAATCTTAGTCTATCATTAACTTTAACCTGTACAGCTGGAAACCGCTTATATTCAGTCCAACATCACTCTAGCATTCTTTAATTCTGCAATGTTTCTGAAGATAGTCTTTGAATTTCTTCCAGTCTTCCTCCACCAACTCTTCTCCCTGGTCACGGATTCTACCAGTCATTTCCGCCAGTTCCATATAGTCCATTAATTTCATCTGCCATTCCTCCAGCGTGGGAAGTTCTTGTGTCTTCCAATACTTTGCGATGAGTATTCTTGCTGCTGTTGTTGCATACATAAAGAAAGTTCTATCCTTTTTAACACCGTTTGGCCGACTATGCCCAGGAGAAAGGCCTCTGGTTTCTTAGGGAAGGTATATTTAAATACCTTTTTTAATTCATTATATATCATTTCCCAGAAAGCCTTGATCTTTGGGCATGTCCACCAAAGGTGAAAAATGTACCTTCAATTTCCTTACATTTCCAACATTTGTTATTGGGCAAATGATAAATTTTTGCAAGCTTGACTGGGGTTATGTACCACCTGTATATCATTTTCATAATATTCTCTCTTAAGGCATTACATGCTGTAAATTTCATACCTGTGGTCCACAACTGTTCCCAGTCAGCAAACATAATGTTATGTCCAACATCTTGTGCCCATTTAATCATAGCCGATTTTACCGTTTCATCCTGAGTATTCCATTTCAACAGCAAGTTATACATCTTTGACAAAATCTTAGTTTTGGGTTCTAACAGTTCTGTTTCTAATTTGGATCTTTCCACCTGGAAGCCAATTTTCTTGTCCAATTTAAATGCCTCCATTATCTGAAAATAATGAAGCCAGTCTCGCACTTTGTTTTTAATTTTTCAAAACTCTGCAATTTCAGTCTATCTCCGTCTTGTTCCAAAATTTCCCAATATTTCGGCCATTTGACCTCCATATTGACCTTTCTCAAGGCTTTCACTTCCATTGGTGACAGCCACCTTGGGGTTTTGTTTTCTAACAAGTCCTTATATCTTATCCAAACATTAAATAGCGCTTTCCTGACAATGTGGTTTCTAAATGCTTTATGTGCTTTGACATTATCATACTATAAATATGCATGCCATCCAAATACATTATTAAAACCTTCCAAGTCCAAAATGTCAGTGTTTTCAAGAAGTAGCCATTCTTTCAACCAGCAGAAGGCTGCTGATTCATAGTAAAGTTTGAGGTCTGGCAGGGCAAATCCGCCTCTTTCCTTTGCATCTGTTAGAATTTTAAATTTTATTCTGGGCTTCTTGCCCTGCCAAACAAATTTAGAAATATCTTTCTGCCACCTCTTGAAACAATCCATTTTGTCAACAATCTGCAAAGTTTGAAACAGAAACAACATTCTAGGCAATACATTCATTTTTATCGCAGCAATACGGCCTAGCAGTGAAAGCTTCAAATTTGACCAAATTTCTAAGTCTTTTTCACTTCAGACCAACATTTTTCATAATTATCTTTAAATAAATTCCCATTTTTTGCTGTCATGTTAATCCCCAGGTATTTAACTTTCTTAACCACTGTTAAACCTGTCTCATTCTGAAACCTCTCTCTTTCAAACGGTGTTAAATTTTTCTCTAAAACCTTGGTTTTTAACTTGTTCAAGAATTTTTACAGCATTCAGAATAATACTTCTGTATGTTTATTCAAAACCTGCCAAGGATTCCAGTTCATTTTGTTGTCTCTTTAAGTAGTTTGTAAAAAGTTCCCATTCTTCTTTGAAGTCACAGTTGTCTTTCTCTCGCAATTTGTATGTCAGTTTTGCATAACAGATAGATAATTTAAGGATTTATAAAATTTTACAATATGCAGAGAATAATATGTGTTGAGAAATCAGAGAGTGGAGCTGAGGGAAGTCACGGGGGGGGGAGGCGGAGGGCTTTTTGTGGAGGGGGAGGGAAAAAAGAGGGAGGAAATAATGAAGAGGATATGTTTTGATAATTTGTTATGTTGAAATTCTTAATAAAAATTATTTTCAAAAAAAAAAGAAAGGGAAAAAAAGAATAATATTGCTGTAAATTGGTGGGATCTAGACTTGACCTAAATTTCTGGAATCAAGTGGGTGCTAGAATTTAATTAATGCTTGGAGTATTAAAACTAGGTAGTCACACCCAATGTGTTTTTAAGCTGTTGGACGCGTCAACAGCTACTAAAGATAAGCTGCTTTGACATCTGTATTGGATGTTTCTAAATCCTCTGAAATTAGCATGTGCAGTATTAAGTTTTAATTAGGCCAAGCCCAAGATGATGCTTTGAGTGATGTAAAGGTAAAGGGACGCCTGACCATTAGGTCCAGTCGCAGCCGACTCTGGGGTTGCGGTGCTCATCTCGCTTTACTGGCCGAGGGAGCCGGCGTACAGCTTCCGGGTCATATAGCCAGCATGACTAAGCCGCTTCTGGCGAACCAGAGCAACGCACGGAAACGCCTTTACATTCCCGCCGGAGCAGTACCTATTTATCTACTTGCACTTTGACGTGCTTTTGAACTGCTAGGTTGGCAGGAGCAGGGACCGAGCAACGGGAGCTCACCCCGTCGCGGGGATTCGAACCGCCGACCTTCTGATCGGCAAGTCCTATGCTCTGTGGTTTAACCCACAGCGCCACCCGAGTCCCCTTTTGAGTGATGTATTAACAGCTAATTAACAGACCAGTTTCCTTGTAGGGAGCTACTGGCAGCTTAGCTGGTAGAGCATGTCTTTATCAGTGATGGCCAAACTTTCCTCTCCAGCTGTTTTGGGACTACAACTCCCATCATCTCTAGCTAACAGGACCGATGGTCAGGGGTGATGGGAATTGTAGTCCCAAAACAGCTAGAGGGCCAGTTTTGGGCATCACTGTTAGAGTCATGGGTTCAAACGCCACATTGGGCAAAAGATTCCTGCATTGCAGGGGGTTGGACTAGATGACCCTCGGGGTCCCTTCCAGCTCTTACAATTCTATGGCTCTATGATAGCCTGTTTGGTAATGATCTGCTAGCACAACAAAGGCTCAAATGCCAATCTCCTTTGCAAACGATTTCTCCCTCAACTGAGAAGCCAATGCTAGTGTTTTAGGAATGACAGTTTGGAGTTATGGAACGGAGTTAGCAAGCAGCGGGTTGGGGAGAGAGAGTCAGAGAGCGATGGTGTTGCTGTGTGCCTCCCAGATTTTTCCTGATGAGCTTGTGAAGTTGCTATGTGAGTTCATTCTGAAGACTTCGGCAAGTATCCCATCAGGTCCACCGGCTTGGTTGTTTTCCAGTTGGTGGTTGTTGTTGTTTAGTCGTTTAGTCATGTCCGACTCTTCGTGACCCCATGGACCAGAGCATGCCAGGCACTCCTGTCTTCCACCGCCTCCCGCAGTTTGGTCAGGCTCATGTTTGTAGCTTCGAGAACACTGTCCAACCATCTCGTCCTCTGCCGTCCCCTTCTCCTTGTGCCCTTCATCTTTCCCAACATCAGGGTCTTTTCCAGGGGTCTTCTCTTCTCATGAGGTGGCCAAAGTATTGGAGCCTCAGCTTCAGGATCTGTCCTTCCAGTGAGCACTCAGGGCTGATTTCCTTCAGAATGGAGAGGTTTGATCTTCTTGCAGTCCATGGGACTCTCAAGAGTCTCCTCCAGCACCAGAATTCAAAAGCATCAATTATTCGGCGATCAGCCTTCTTTATGGTCCAGCTCTCACTTCCATACATCACTACTGGGAAAACCATAGCTTTAACTATACGGACCTTTCTTGGCAAGGTGATGTCTCTGCTTTTTAAGATGCTGTCTAGGTTTGCCATCGCCTTTCTCCCAAGGAGCAGGGGTCTTTTAATTTCGTGACTGCTGTCACCATCTGCAGTGATCATGGAGCCCAAAAAAGTAAAATCTCTCGCTGCCTCCATTTCTTCCCCTTCTATTTGCCAGGAGGTGATGGGCCCAGTGGCCATGATCTTCATTTTTTTGATGTTGAGCTTCAGACCATATTTTGTGCTCTCCTCTTTCACCCTCATTAAAAGGTTCTTTAATTCCTCCTCGCTTTCTGCCATCAAGGTTGTGTCATCTGCATATCTGAGGTTGTTGATATTTCTTCCGGCAATCTTAATTCCGGCTTGGGATTCATCCAGTCCAGCCTTTCGCATGATGAATTCTGCATATAAGTTAAATAACCAGGGAGACAATATACAGCCTTGCCGTACTGCTTTTCCAATTTTGAACCAATCAGTTGTTCCATATCCAGTTCTAACTGTAGCTTCTTGTCCCACATAGAGATTTCTCAGGAGACAGATGAGGTGATCAGGCACTCCCATTTCTTTAAGAACTTGCCATAGTTTGCTGTGGTCGACACAGTCAAAGGCTTTTGCATAGTCAATGAAGCAGAAGTAGATGTCTTTCTGGAACTCTCTAGCTTTCTCCATAATCCAGCGCATGTTTGCAATTTGGTCTCTGGTTCCTCTGCCCCTTCGAAATCCAGCTTGCACTTCTGGGAATTCTCGGTCCACATACTGCTTAAATCTGCCTTGTAGAATTTTAAGCATAACCTTGCTGGCATGTGAAATGAGTGCAATTGTGCGGTAGTTGGCGCATTCTTTGGCACTGCCCTTCTTTGGGATTGGGATGTGGACTGATCTTCTCCAATCCTCTGGCCACTGCTGAGTTTTCCAAATGTGCTGGCATATTGAGTGTAGCACCTTGACAGCATCATCGTTTAAAATTTTAAATAGTTCAGCTGGAATATCATCACTTCCACTGGCCTTGTTATTAGCAGTGCTTTCTAAGGCCCATTTGACTTCATTCTCCAGGATGTCTGGCTCAAGGTCAGCAACCACACTACCTGGAGTGTACGAGACATCCATTTCTTCTTTCTGGTATAATTCCTCTGTGTATTCTTGCCACCTCTTCTTGATGTCTTCTGCTTCTGTTAGGTCCTTTCCACTTTTGTCTTTTATTATGGTAATCTTTGTACGAAATGTTCCTTTCATATCTCCAATTTTCTTGAACAGATCTCTGGTTTTTCCCATTCTATTGTTTTCCTCTATTTCTTTGCATTGCTCGTTTAAGAAGGCCTTCTTGTCTCTCCTTACTATTCTTTGGAAATCTGCATTCAATTTCCTGTATCTTTTACTATCTCCCTCACATTTTGCTTGCCTTCTCTCCCCCACTATTTGTAAGGCCTCGTTGGACAGCCACTTTGCTTTCTTGCATTTCCTTTTCATTGGGATGGTTTTAGTTGCTGCCTCCTGTATAATGTTACGAGCCTCCATCCATAGTTCTTCAGGCACTCTGTCCACCAAATCTAAATCCTTAAACCTGTTCCTCACTTCCACTGTGTATTCATAAGGGATTTGACTTAGATTGTATCTTACTGGCCCAGTGGTTTTTCCTACTTTCTTCAGTTTAAGCTTGAATTTTGCCCAAAGAAGCTGATGATCTGAGCCACAGTCAGCTCCAGGTCTTGTTTTTGCTGACTGTATAGAGCTTCTCCATCTTTGGCTGCAGAGAATATAATCAATCTGATTTCGATGCTGCCCATCTGGTGATGTCCATGTGTAGAGTCGTCTCTTGTGTTGTTGGAAAAGAGTGTTTGTGATGACCAGCTTGTTCTCTTGGCAGAACTCTATTAGCCTTTGCCCTGCTTCGTTTTGAACTCCAAGGCCAAACTTGCCAGTTGTTCCTTTTATCTCTTGACTCCTACTTTAGCATTCCAATCCCCTATAATGAGAAGAACATCCTTCTTTGGTGTCATTTCTATAAGGTGTTGTAAGTCTTCATAGAATTGGTCAATTTCAGTTTCTTCAGCACCAGTGGTTGGTGCATAAACTTGGATTACTGTGATGTTAAAAGGTCTGCCTTGGATTCAGTATCGAGATCATTCTATCATTTTTGAGATTGCATCCCAGTACAGCTTTTGCCACTCTTTTGTTGACTATGAGTGCCACTCCATTTCTTTTACGGGATTCTTGCCCACAGTAGTAGATATGATGGTCATCCGAACTGAATTCGCCCATTCCCATCCATTTTAGTTCACTGATGCCCAGGATGTCAATATTTATTCTTGCCATCTCATTTTTGACCACATCCAACTTACCAAGGTTCATGGTTCTTACATTCCAGGTTCCTATGCAATATTTTTCTTTACAGCATTGGACTTTCCTTTCGCTTCCAGGCATATCCGCAACTGAGCGTCCTTTCGGCTTTGGCCCAGCCGCTTCATCAGCTCTGGATCTACTTGTACTTGTCCTCCGCTCTTCCTCAGTAGCATGTTGGACGCCTTCCGACCTGAGGGGCTCATCTTCCAGCGTCATAACTTTTATATGCCTGTTGTCTTTGTCCATGGAGTTTTCTTGGCAGGGATACTGGAGTGGCTTGCCAGTTCCTGCTCCAGGTGGATCACGTTTGGTCAAAACTCTCCACTATGACCTGTCCATCTTGGGTGGCCCTGCACAGCATAGCTCATAGCTTCTCTGAGTTATTCAAGCCCCTTCGCCACGGCAAGGCAGTGATCCATGAAGGGGCCAGTTGGTGGTGCTGTGGTCTAAACCACTGAGCCTCTTGGGCTTGCTGATCAGAAGGTTGGAGGTTTGAATCCCCACAACGGAGTGAGCTCCCGTTGCTCTGTCCCTGCTCCTGCCAACCTAGCAGTTTGAAAGCACGCCAGTGCAAGTAGATAAATAGGTACCACTGCAGTGAGAAGGTAAACGGCGTTCCCGTGTGCCCTGGTTTCCATCAGGGTGTTCCATTGTTTAAGAAGCAGTTTAGTCATGCTGGCCACATAATCCGGAAAACTGTCTGTGGACAAACGCCGGCTCCCTCAGCCTGAAAGCGAGATGAGTACCGCAACCCCATAGTCGCCTTCGACTGGACTTAACCGTCCAGGGGTCCTTTACCTTTACCCATAGCTGTACAGTCATACCTCATGTTACGTTTGCTTCGTGTTACGTTCTTTCAGGTTACGTCCCGCAGCGACCCGGAAGTACTGGAAAGGTTTATTTCCGGGTTTCGCCGCTCGCACATGCGCAGAAGTGCAAAATGACGTCATGCACATGTGCAGGAGCAGCGAATCGCAACCCACACGTGTGCAGACGCGCCACTGCAGGTTGCGCTCTTTTCATGTTGCGAACGGGCCTCCGGAACAGATCCCGTTCACAGCCAGAGGTACCACTGTTCACAACTCTAGATGGCTCTTGAGGTTCCTTCCAACTCTATGATTTCTTTATTCTATGAACTCTGGAAATTGTACACCTGTATGATGAATACAGTGTAGAACAGAAAACGATGCCTTCTGATATCCCCAATTTTTTTCAGGTCCTTGGGAAGAATTTGTTCCTGGCTTTTGGTGGAGTTCAGGAAGCAGCGACAAGCCACGAGGGCTCGTCTACAGAACCTTCCGAACCCGGGTCAAGCAGCCAGGGGATGGGCCTTGACAGAGGCAGTCCCATTCTCCAGAGCTGGGAAGGAGGCAAGGCCGACTCTGGGGGTCCGGGGGGCCCCCTGCAGGAGGAGCATGAAGCTGATTTGCCATCATTTATGGACGACACTGCCGGACCCCCTTGGAAATGGCTACGATTCCACTTTTGGCTCTATGGGAGCGTCCGTGCCAATGAGTTTGCAAGGGCCAACAAGGCTAATAAAAGAGGGGACTGGAAAGATCCAGTTCCCAGGTACGAATTTGATAATTGCTACGCTGTGCAGAGGGACGCGGGTGGTGCTGTGGGTTAAAGCACAGAGCCTAGGACTTGCTGATCAGAAGGTCGGCAGTTCGAATCCCTGTGAAGGGAGGCGTTGCGCATTTTGAGCAGCCAGCTTTTCTCATGAAACGCAAGGAAGTGAACAGGAGCACCAAACTGCCCATGAATTATAATCCCCAGATTTGCACGGCTGCGTAAGATTGAAGTGTCTTAAGCAAGAATGAGATAAACCTGCATCTGGAAGTATCAGCCTGCTATGGGCCTAAGTCCCAAGGTGTTTAGGGCTTTGTAAATGAGAGGTAAAGGGACGTGGGTGGCACTGTGGGTTAAACCACAGGGCCTAGGACTTGCCGATCAGAAGGTTGGCGGGTCGAATCCCCGCGACGGGGTGAGCTCCCGTTATTCGGTCCCTGCTCCTGCCAACCTAGCAGTTCGAAAGCACGTCAAAGTGCAAGTAGATAAATAGGTACCGCTCTGGTGGGAAGGTAAATGGCGTTTCCGTGCACTGCTCTGGTTCGCCAGAAGCGGCTTAGTCATGCTGGCCACATGACCCGGAAGCTGTATGCCAGCTCCCTTGGCCAATAAAGCAAGATGAGCGTCGCAACCCCAGAATCGGCCATGACTGGACCTAATGGTCAGGGGTCCCTTTACCTTTACCTTTACCTTTACGCTGTGCAGATGCCACAAAAAAATAGGCCCAGGTAGCTTCCTGTTTGCACAGAGTTGTGAGCAAAAATTGTCATAAGTCCTAATGCAAGTGTTAGCCTACAGTGACATGGATTTCAAGCACTGGCAAATAGACCAAGGCAGCAGCTTGCACTTTTTCTAAACCAGAGGTGCAGAACCTTCGGCTCACAGGCTAATCTTTTTGCAAAAACACGTCCAGCCATCCATCAGCTGATTGGCTGGGTCAGGGCCAGATTTAGAGTTGTGCAGGCGGTTCCCTGTACCAGGCATCAACCTAAGAGGGCCAACAACAACAACAACCTTTATATGAGTACCTACTGAGAAGATCTACAAAAATGTAACTTTACCAAAAAGAATTATTGTGCTAATAGGAAATATTTAGGGATGGGGGCACTAAATTTCCTCCTTGCTCAGGGTGCCATATTACCAAAATCCGCCCCGTCTGGCTTGGACTTCTAATTTAAGCAAGCAGGTGGGCCAGAGGACAGAGGATTCTGTGCAGTGTGTCCTCTCTCCTGTTGCTCGCTTGAAGGAGAAGTGTGCAGCTGCTTCAAAGAGCACTTTTGTGGAGCTCTGTTTTGAACCTGTGCAGGCTATTTGAAGCAGCCTTCCTGCCTCTTTCAAACATTGGCTGGGCGAGGTGGAGTTGAGGGGAGGAATGCACCAGTCTGCAATTTTGCAACGCCCTTTTCTAAACATCACTGAGCAATGTTAAAAGGAAGGGTACACTGCTTCAAAGAGTGCTTTTGCAAAGGGGTTTCAGACAGGTCTCCTTTGACGCAGACAGCAGAGCAGGGGGAATTGTCTTAAAAGCCCCTTGCAAACAGTAGAAGGACTTTGAAGCTGTAGCAGGCTACCAACAGCCCAATGTCTGCCTGATGATTGGAGACGCTGCACGTGGGATTTGGAAAGATGAGTGGAGCCACCCACCTGTCAATCACTTGACACCATTTGATTGACATACAGGTGGTCCCTGCTTCTCAGATTTGGCCAGATCACAATAAGACTCTGGATCATAGAGACCAAAATGTTTCCCCACCCCTATTCTAAGACAATAAGGTAATCTTCGTTCGACTTTCAGGCTGGTTCTGCATTTTGATAGAGGGGGCTTTCTCGTCTTTTATAACTGCCGGATCCATAGCTGTTCTTCTCCTACTGCTGAGCCAGCTACTGATATCCTGAGCTTGGAGTTTGATCAGGAACGCGCTTTGGGGGCCCTGTGCAAAGCTGTACCTGTGTGCCACACCCTCCTGGACCAAAGATATTTCTCAGGGCTTGGTATGTATCGGGTTGTACAGTATCTCTTTAGTTTTCTTCCCAGTACAGTGGTACCTTGGTTCTCAAACGTAATCCGTTCCGGAAGTCCGTTCCAAAACCAAAGCATTCCGAAACCAAGGCGAGCTTTCCCATAGAAAGTAATGCAAAATGGATTAATCCATTCCAGATTTTTAAAAACAATCCCTAAAACAGCAATTTAACATGAATTTTACTATCTAAGGACACCATTGATCCATAAAAGGAAATCAATAAAAAATGTACAGTGGTACCTCGGGTTACAGACACTTCAGGCTACAGATGCTTCAGGTTACAGATGCTTCAGGTTACAGACTAACCCAGAAATAGTACCTTGGGTTAAGAACTTTGCTTCAGGATGAGAACAGAAATCACGGAGTGGCAGCACGGCAGCAGCGGGAGGCCCTATTAGCTAAAGTGGTACCTCAGGTTAAGAACAGTTTCAGGTTAAGAACGGTGGTGAAGGTCCTGTGTGAGTGTCTGGAGGCGGGTGGAGGATGGATGGCGGCTAACAGATTGAGGTTGAATCCTGACAAGACAGAAGTACTGTTTTGAGGGAAAAGGAGGCGGGCGGTTGTGGAAGACTCCCTGGTCCTGAATGGGGTAACTGTGCCCCTGAAGGACCAGGTGTGCAGCCTGGGAGTCATTTTGGACTCGCAGCTGTCCATGGAAGCACAGGTCAATTCTGTGTCCAGGGCAGCTGTTTATCAACTCCATCTGATACACAGGCTGAGACCCTACCTGCCCGCAGACTGTCTCACCAGGGTGGTGCATGCTCTAGTTATCTCCCACTTGGACTACTGCAATGTGCTTTATGTGGGGCTGCCTTTGAAGGCGACCTGTAAACTACAACTAATCCAGAATGCGGCAGCTAGACTGGTGACTGGGAGTGGCCGCTGAGACAATATAACACCGGTCCTGAAAGCCCTCCATTGGCTCCCAGTACTTTTCCGAGCGCAATTCAAAGTGTTGGTGCTGACCTTTAAAGCCCTAAACGGCCTCATCCCAGTATACCTGAAGGAGCGTCTCCACCCCCATCATTCAGCCTGGACACTGAGGTCCAGCTCCAAGGGTCTTCTGACGGTTCCGTCCCTGCAAGAAGTGAGGTTACAGGGAACCAGGCAGAGGCCTTCTCGGTAGTGCCCCCCCCCCCCCCCGTGGAACGCCCTCTCATCAGATGTCAAAGAAATAAACAACTATCAGACTTTTAGGAGACATCTGAAGGCAGCCCTGTTTAGGGAAGCTTTTAATATTGGATGAATCATTGTATTTTAATATTCTGCTGGAAGCTGCCCAGAGTGCCTGGGGAAACCAAGCCAGATGGGCGGGGTATAAATAATATATTATCATTATCATTATCATTTTGTCTTCTTTTTTTTCTTTTTTTTTGTATCTCTTCGCCTACTATACCCAGTAAAAAGGCTTCTGGTTTTTTTTAACAAAAGTATTTTTGAACATTTTCTTTGACTCATTATACAGTGGTACCTCGGGTTAAGAACTTAATTCATTCTGGAGGTCCGTTCTTAACCTGAAACTGTTCTTAACCTGAAGTACCACTTTAGCTAATGAGGCCTCCCGCTGCTGCCACCGCACAATTTCTGTTCTCATCCTGAAGCAAAGTTCTTAACCCGAGGTACTATTTCTGGGTTAGCAGAGTCTGTAACCTGAAGCGTCTGTAACCCGAGGTACCACTGTATATCATTTCCCAGAAAACCTTTACCTCTTTACAAGTCCACCACATATGGTAAAAGATACCTTCCTTTTCTTTACATTTCCAACACTCACTAGATCTTGTCCTATGCATTTTAGCAAGTTTTGATGTTGTTAAATGCCCTGTTTTAAACATTTCATCCCAGGGAATATCATTAAGAACGAGGCCCTGTACCTAGCGAAGATCCATCCACTCTCCCTCGGATCCCTCCTGCCACTCCCGGAACTCAGGTCCCTACTTGACCATGCTGTTCGCTTCGCCTCGGAGTGGTTCATCAACAAGCAGCAGAGAGGGAGGCAACATTGGCAGATCTACCAGAAAGAGAGATGCCCTGAAGGGCACCAGGTGAGGAAAGAAGCCTTTGGTCCCCCAGATGGACTGAGAAGACTTACCTGGTGGTGTCCCCAGTGCCAGCCTCAAGTTGGTCAGGAAGAGGATGAGGACCTTTCTACTCGCGGCAGTTGAAGGGTTAAGCCTCTCTGCCCCCGGTTGGATTGTGCTAGGATGCTAAAATTTGAAGAGAGAGCAGTGCAGGGTGGGCGGGCACATGCCCACGATTGCTATGGAGAAGCCACCCAAACCATAACCATTTCCAACCTGGTTTTAATACTGACGAGTACTTACCAAGCGGCTAGTCCTCATCGTATTGTGGCATTCATGTCCCCAGTCCTCGCTTGGGTGATGGTGGGGTGTTGTTGTTGTTTGAAATGTGGCCTTGGGCCATGTTAAGCGTGAGCCGGATCACAGTTAAATGAAAGATGTTGGACTAACAAAAACGGAGACAGCTGTTGAACTTTGAGTTTCTCAGTATGAAAGACAGATTTTTCAGTTAGCATAGCAGCCAAGGCTGTTGCAATAGACAGCAGAAGTTTAGCATTCTGCCTTTTTGGAGAATGAGAGCCCCATATAGATGTTGAGAAGTTCCTGGTTTCTGTATTAAAGTTTTATTCGTTCCTTGACAGAAATGTTTCTCCTGCGTGTTTCTTCCAAGGGTCAGGGGGCTATGACTAAGGCTCTTAGATGTGTTTCACTGCAAGTGAGCAGACTGCTATTCTCAGGCTCGTTTGAGGGGAAGCTATGGCCTTTCAAGTGGCATTTATTATTATTATTATTATTATTATTATTATTATTTATTCCCCACCACTCTGGCTGGCATTGAAAACCTCCTGATACAGGGCTGCCTTCATACTATCTGAAAAGCACTTGTTCCAGATCACACATCTCTTTGTTAGGTAGATTTATTGCTTTATTGTTCGGCGCCCAGCCACGCTTCCCCTGCGAGCCTCTGTAGCTTCTGTTTACGCAGTGTGGCTTTCAGGCGGTCGTAAAGCAATTAGCAGGTAGCAAAGTTGCACAGCGGTCGTGTGTTTGAAAGAGCAGTAATCAAGTCCCACACGTTTCTTCTGTCCTAATATCTCTTTATTTGCTCAAAAGTAGCATATTTACAAACAATAACTTCCATCAGAATCAAGCTGCATCTTCTCCCTCTGTTTGCAGCTGCGCAACAAACACTGCTTTCACTTTTCACTCAGCTCACAGCATTCCAAGCTGCTTTCGTCAGGTCCTGGCGTACTTCCCTTGTAAGCGCCTCCCCTCAGCCTCGAGACACAGAAGGTTAACCCTTCACTACACCCAACACTTCAGATGCCTTCTAAAAGTTGTGCAATTATCTCCTTGACATATTATTATTTTTTAATAATAATGATAATAATAATAATAATAATAATAATAATAATACAGTGGTGCCCCGCAAGACGAATGCCTCGCAAGATGGAAAAACCGCTAGACGAAAGGGTTTTCCGTTTTGGAGTTGCTTCGCAGGACGAATTCCCCTATGGGCTTGCTTCGCAAGACGAAAATGTCTTGCGAGTCTTGAGATTTTTTTTTCACTTCCCCCCCCTTTATCTAAGATGCTAAGCCTTTAATAGCCTTTTAGCAGCTAATCCGCTAAGCCTTTAATAGCCGCTAAACCGCTAATAGCGCTAATCCGTTAAGCCGCTAATAGGGTTGCTTCGCAAGACGAAAAAACCGCTAGACGAAGACACTCGCGGAACGGATTAATTTCGTCTTGCGAGGCACCACTGTAATAATATGCCCTGATGTGAGTTCACAGTGCAGAGACAACCTTATTCCTCATCCTCAATCAGCAGACCAAATGAAACCCTAGGAGAAGGGAGACATTTCGTGTGGGTGGGCATGCTGGTCTCACAGAACAAAATTGTAGAAACAGAGAATTGTAGAGTTGGAAGGGACACCAAGGATCATCCAACCCCCTGCAATGCACTTATATGTGGCTAACCATTTGTGGGATGCTCTCCGCAAGGAAGCTTGCCTGGCGCCTTCATTAGACACCTTTAAGCGCCGGGGCGGGGGGGGGGGGGGAGGTTCCTCTTTAACCAGGCCTTTGGTTGACTGACATTCAATGCCCTTTAAAAATGTGTCGGGGATGGGGGAATAATTGGGTGGTTCTTGTTTTTATTTGGATTGTGCATTTGGCATTTCTATATTGCGATTTTATCCCGTGAGCCGCCCTGAGACCTGCGGGTTTGGCGGGGGGGGGGCCTACAGATTTAATAAATAATAATATAGTGGACGCTCACGTTGCGAACTTGATCCGTGTGGGATGCATGTTCACAACCCACAGCGTCCGCAACCTGCAGCGCCGCATCTGCAAACGTGCAGGGTGTGATTCGGCGCTTCTGCGCATGAACAAAGCGCAATTTAGTGGTCCTGCGCATGCGCGAGCGCCGAAACCCGGAAGTAACCCACTCCGGTACTTTTGGGTTTGGCGCAGTGTGCAACCCAAAACACGCAACCTGAAGCATCTGTAACCGAGGTATGACAATAATAATAATGCACATTTGCACCTCGCTCTCTCACTCACAAATACCCCAAAATAGATAAAAAGTGGGGGGGAGGAAGAAACATGGTTAGAAATCCATATATATATATATATATATATATATAGCCACCAAATTCCTAAGGGCCGCCCAATGTCTATGGACTGTGGGCCAACTAACCCCAGTGTAACAGAAGAAGGAAGACCTCGTGATGTATGGAGCAGAACTTGTTGCCCAGGGAAAGGTCGAATGGTTTGAAGAATTGGGATTTTGTGATTGTATCAGAATGCAAGGAAATGCTGAAGGCTTGAGCTACCTGGAAAAAAACCAAGGGCTTGGGTTTGTCGAACTTTGTTCTTAAAAGAAGAATGTGGGTGGTTGGGTTTGTGTGTGCGAGAGAGCTCAAGATGTCCTGTTCAGCCTAGGCAGAGCAGGGAAGAGATTTTTCTGTTGCAACGAGATCTACCTAGGACTTTGCAAAGCCAAGAATGGATGACACAGACCGCTTAAGAGAGTTTTGTGGTTTATAAGCAGTCTACACACCCTGTACATCTGCAAAACGATTGATACTGATACATTGGAAGGACAAAAAGATGATCTCTTTTGATTGATGGATAGATGACATGGGAATTCTTGCAACCAATGAACGGATTGCTTTTGGAGGAAGATTACGCATGGACAAATTTAATGAACGTATTTATTGAAACCATCGTGAGTCATGCATCAATATCTATTTGAGGGAAACAATAAGTTCATCCATCTACATATATGGTACATAGTTCTGTAATCTTAATTATATTTTGTTGTCATATAGAATCATAGAAACATAGAATGGTAAAGCTGGAAGGGACCCCAGTCTGGTCCATCCCTCTGCGATGCAGGAATCTCATCTAAAGCATCAATGACAGATCATATTGTTGTTTTTCCCAATTGTTTTTATTAAATATTTTCTTGAGTTACGGAAGTACATACATCGCCTCTACTTTCTGCAGGTCAGTTATATTCGATATGAGACTTCAGTACCAGCCAGATGGGTGGGGTATAATTAATATATTATTATTGTTGTTGTTGTTATTGAACAGATCATATTGTTCTTGTTGTTTTCCTCTACCTTTTAAAATGCCTTTATGCATTCTATATTTTTTTCCTTTAGCTCGCGGTTAGATTCTTAATGAAATAAATCAATAAATGGGATCTGCCAAATCGTGCATCATCAGGAAGTCTTCCAAAATTTGCTTGTGCTTCTCTTTCGCTACCCAAAAGTTTGCTGTGCAAGCTGTGCCACACACTTGCTCTGCCCCACACCACAGGCGGGTGTGGCTGGCACTGTCCTCCTGCTCACCTATGCAAAGAACAGGGAGGGGTGTTTGAAGTTGAACGTGTGTAGCAACCAACCACCTGCGCAAAGCTAAAAAGCTGGGCTTACTGTTCCATCTGGCTTGGCCTCTGATGCCAACTGCCGCTGGCATGCCGCCCTCGGAAAGTTGCTCAGGAAGGAACGGGGTCATAGTTGTCAACATACAGAATTGAAAATAAGGGATCAGCAGCCCTGAAAATAAGGGATCAGCAGCCAAAATAAGGGATTTTGCTTGACTTATACATAAATCAGGCACTGATGGAGCCATTCTGCTTTTGCTGCGACTGACTGTGTTTTGCAGGGGGTTGGACTACATGATCCTAAGGGTCTACAACTCCGACCAAAGAAGAGGGGCATACAAAACTGATGAACGACGTCGAGATGGCAAAGCTTACAGGCAGAATTAGAAACCAGGAAGAGGACCTCTTTAATAAAGAATGGGGAAAGTTTATAATTTATTTGAAAAGCTATTGTAAAGAGTTACATACATTGGTAGGATTGACAGAAAACTTGTAGTAAAAATTTGAACTATGGATGGACAAATGATTTATAAAAATAGAGTTATGAAAGGGATGCAGAGGGGGAAATCACTACATTAAGATGCTGCACTGGTTGGAGGGGATGCTAAGCAGCAGTCGGGGCTGCCCTGCCTAGCATGAGGTTGTTGCGGCGCGGCAGCGGCCGCTGAAGCGACGCCCTTCTGCGTGCAAGTCTCGCAAGAGAGGGGCTGCCTGCCTGCCTGCCGCCACCCATCTCCTCACCTGAGGGGGGAAAGGGAGAGACGGAGATGAGGCAGCTCGTGCGGACGCTCTCTCTCGCAGCGGCGGAGGACCCCAATCCGCTGCTTCCCTCCTGAGCCGGGCGAGCATGAAACCCGGGAAATTTAAGGGACATCATCAATAAGGGACAGCAGTGGGACACGGCGCTGGGATAAGGGAGTTTCCCGCCAAATAAGGGATGGTTGACAGCTATGAATGGGGTTGAAAATCCTTCCCTACTCCAGAGCTACAGCACCCTGAGTCCCTTTCCAATGCGGTAGGGGTTAAAATCTAATGGAGAATTTTGCTGGTGGAACTAGTCAGATGAGTTCCTCTGCAAGATAGGGGGGGCGGGAGAGAGAAACATAACTACTACAACAACTATTTGACTTTTAGAAGACCTCTGAAAGCAGCCCTGTTCAGGGAAGTTTTTAATGTTTGATCTTTTATCATGTTTTTAATATGTTGGGAGCTGCCCAGAGTGGCTGGGGAGAGCTTCCGGGGTCTGTTACCTTTACCTTATGTCATAAAGATCCTACTGTCTCTGCTGTGCCTCATTTCCAAAAGGTAACAAGGACTCCAGCTGAGCACCTGGAACCTCTAGAACACTGGTGGTGAAGCTATGGCAAGCGTGCCAGAGTGGGCACTCAGAGCCCTCTCTGTTGGCACACACACCATTGGTCAAACGCCCCCTAGAGTTCTGCCCGGACACTGAGGTCCAGTGCTGAGGGCCTTCTGGCGGTTCCCTCGCTGCGAGAAGCCAAGTTACAGGGAACCAGGCAGAGGGCCTTCTCGGTAGTGGCACCCGCCCTGTGGAATGCCCTCCCACCAGATGTCAAAGAGAAAAACAACTACCAGACTTTTAGAAGAGATCTGAAGGCAGCCCTGCTTAGGAAAGTTTTTAATGCTTAATAGACTATTGTATTTTAATATTCTGTTGGAAGCCACCCAGAGTGGCTGGGGAAACCCAGCCAGATGGGCGGGGTATAAATAATAAATTATTATTATTA